ATTTGGAGGAGAAGAGCAGCTGCATCAAGGACCTGTGGCAGCTGCCCATCATCCCTTGGAATGGGAAACCTCCAGCAACGGCAAAGGCAGCGGCAGCGGCTAAGGCAACTGCGGGAGGAGAGGAGATTGCACCAACTGCTGGGGCCCTGGATACAGTCAAGAAGGTGCAGCAGCCACAGCAATCATATGGTGAGGTGCTCGCTGGTGTGGATGCAACGGCTGCATGGGCAAAGGCTTCGTCTGGGAGTGGTGAGGCCGATTGGGAGACGTGGCATGAGAGGCTGTGCCACATCAACATTCCTATGCTGTAGAAGTTGGTGAAGGATGGGAGCTTGAAGGGATTGGAGGTGAAGGGGGCAGCGAAGGAGATTGGGAGCTGCCCTACATGCCTTGAGACAAAGTTCACCAAGTTCCCTTTCAGCAGCAGCACGGGACCAGCCAAGGTTCCACTCGCGCTTGTGCACATGGATGTGGTGGGCCTCACAAGGGCCCCTTCTCTCTCGGGCAGCCGCTACTTCTTGACGATTGTGGACGACCACACGCGTGCGGTGTGGGTGTACCCTCTCAAGACTAAGGGGGAGGTGGCAACGGCTGTTCTTAAGGAGTGGATGCCGAGGGCTCAAAGGGAGAGCGGACATAAGGTGAAGGTGATCCGCACTGACAACGGGGGAGAATTCATTGGCACTGATTTTGAGGTGGTGCTGAAGAAGGGGATCCAGCATCAGCTCACGGTGCCCTACAACCCTCAGCAGAACGGCGTGGCTGAGCGGTTCAACTGGACCCTGCAGGAAGGTGCTCGCACTCTCCTTGGGCGTGCAGGGCTGCCGGATCCGTTTTGGGTGACTGCACTGCGGCAGGTCGCCCTTGTGAAGAACAGGGTGCTGGCAACTGTGGGGGACAAGCAGTGGGTCCCCTACACCAAGTGGTATGGGAGTGCACCAACGGTGAACATGCTGAGAGCCTACGGGTGCATGGTGGTTTTTCATGTACCTAAGGAGAAGAGGGGAAAACTGGAAGCCTCTGGGAGATGGGGTGTGCACTTGGGGCTTGCTAAGGATCACAAGGGATGGCTGATTTGGGACTTGACCAGCCAGCAACTGACTATGTCGAGGGATGTGAAGTTCCTTGAGTCCTTGTACTACAAGGAGTGGAAGCAGCAGCAGCAGAAGCTCCCTTCTACACCTCTGATCATTGAGGCCGATGAGTTGCAGCGGCCCTCGAGGCAAGTGGAGGTTTATATCTCCGAGGAGGAGATCTCTGGGGTGACCAAGGATGGGGGAGAACCTGAGGTGGAGGAGCAACAGCAGCCGCAGCAGCATCAACAGCAGCAGCAGCGGCAGCAGCAACGTGCTCCACCATGTGCCCCACGCCCGCCTGAGCGTCCTAGGAGGGATATACGCCCACCTATTAGGTAGAGCTATAATCGCACTGGCTCACAAAATGTGGAGCATGCTGGAAGTGTGGCTGAGCAGTGTGATGAGGAGGAGATAGCGCACAGTTACTCGGCAGCCGTCCCTGAGCCCAAGACACTTACCAAGGCCTTGAGTGGGCCCGATGCTGAGAAGTGGAAGCAGAGTGTGAAGGAGGAGTATGACTCTCTGCTGGAGAACGAGACGTGGGAGCTGTGTGAGCTGCCTCCAGTGAAGAAGGCCATTTCTTCCAAGCTGATTTTCAGGCACAAGTACGGACCTGATGGGGAGCTGACCCGCTGCAAGTCAAGGCTTGTGGCTAAGGGGTTCCAATAGACAAAGGGGAAGGACTTTGATGATATCTTTGCTCCTGTGGGGAAAGGCACTACACTGAGGACGATGTTGGCAATGGCTGCAAACCGTGGCTGGAAGATCAAGCAGATGGACATAATCACTGGCTTCCTTAATGGAATCATTTTGGAGGAGCTGTACATGCTGCAGCCTGAGGGGTTGGATGATGGGAGCGGCAGGGTGTGCAGGCTCAAGAAGGCCATCTATGGCCTGAAGCAGGCTCCTCGCGCATGGTACCACAAGCTGGAGGAGACACTGCTGGCTGGGGGGTTCAAGAAGAGCGAGTGTGATCACAGCCTGTTCCTGCTGCAAGAGAAGGAACAGTTCCTCATACTCCTGGTGTACGTGGACGACATCCTGCTCTTCTCTGAGTCGTCTGCGAAGATTGAACGTGTGGAGGAGATGCTGGAAATGCAGTTCAAGTGCTCCAAGATGGGAGATGTGAAGTACTACCTTGGGATGCACGTGGAGAGGGACCTTGACAAGGGAGTGTTGAGGTTGCACCAGAGGAAGTATTGTGAGGGGCTGGCTGAGAAGTATGGGCTGCAAGATGCAGGAAAGCCAGCCACCCTGCTACCTTCGGGGTTCACTGTGGAGCCCTGTACTGATGAGGAGGTGGTGGGGGAAAGTGAGAGGAAGTTGTTTCACTCCATGGTGGGGGCACTCAACTATGCGGCTAACCACACGCGGCCTGACATTGCCTTTGCTACATCCAGGCTTGCGAGTGTGGTTTCATGCCCAAGTCATGAGCAGCTGGAAGCGGCCAAGAGGTTGGTCCGCTATGTGAGCGCTACAGCATCAGTGGGCTTGGAGTACAGTGCTGTGCGATAGAGGCTACAGAGGGGTGCAGCTGATTTGAGCAAGGGGGAGATGCGCTTGACTTGCTACAACGACGCTAGCTTCAACTCAGTGAAGACGGATGGCACCAGCATTGGAGGCTATGTCTGCCTCTTTGGAGGTGGTGTAGTGAGCTGGCGCAGCAAGAAGCAGAACGAGGTGGGGTTGTCCTCGTGTGAGACTGAGTACATGGCCCTTCATCATGGGGCAAAGGAGGTGGTGTGGCTGAGGCGTTTGTTGGAGGAAATCGGAGTGTGTCAGAGGGAGCCGACTGTGATTTTCTGTGAAAATGAGTCGGCGGTGAAGCTTGCGAAGAATGCCTGTCGTCATGGCTTGACAAAGCACATCAGGCCAAAGTGGCATTGGACAAGGAGGCTCCTGGACAAGGAGGTGTGGCTGGAGATTGTGAAGACCCAGCAGCAGGCGGCTGACATTCTCACCAAGCGCCTGGCAGAACCTGAGCATTGGAAGGGCATGAAGCTTGCGGGAATGAGTGTGCATTGAGGGGGCATGCTTGAGTTATGGCATGTGGGATGATGGTTGGCAGCCAGAGGGGGAGTTTGTTGTGTGATGCAACCATATGCATTCACGTCTGTCTGCCTCCCATCATGTGTTTGTGCGTTGCATGCGTGGTGTGAGCGTGTGCAAGAATTTGTGTTTGATGTGGTTTGGTTTTTTCAGAGTGAGTGTATGTTATTTGGCTTGAGCAGATATCTGAAGTGATTTCTCTACTCAAGAGCTTTCCGACGAACCAAGAATCGTCGCGATCGGAGCACAACCAAGAAAGTTACGAACATTGGAGTTCGTATGCTTATATATTTTGGTTGCAGCTACTTTGGGAAGTTGTGGCATTGACTCAATATGGGGTACAGACTTGTGGGGGTTGGGAAATTCGAACCCATCACTGTAGATGCTGCCAAGAGGTTGGGTGAAGCCAAACCAGGTTGGTAAGTGTGGCCAAGTTGTGGTGAGGTGGATGGCATGGGTTGGAAAGTGACAAAGGTCAAAGTTTGTTGCCTATAGGGAAGGGAATTGTGTGGCATGGGGTTTCCTTGGTTGGGGACTCTCTCTTGGGACCTTCCCTCTCGTCCTCCTCTTCCCCTCCTACCAGGTTTAGTGCTACTCTAATGTTCTTTTGTGGGACTTGTGAGTTAATTGTCATCGAGTTAAATTTCTGTGGCAGAATACCCCCTAGTGCGCCGAAACGTCTAACTCAAGCTATGCTTCATAATTTGATACGATTCAAATTGGGAAATGTAGCCACGGTCTCGGGCTACAACATAGTCGAATTTCGTGGGATTCTAATAGTGCACCTTTCGTCGACAACGTTTCTTGTGAAGTCGACGTTTCTGTCCAGAAATTGAGACCAACGATTTTAAAAAATTTGGGCACCTAATCTTCATAGACTCCGTCCTTAGTGTTTAACACAAGGAAACCCCATGCCACACAATTCCCTTCCCCATAGGCAACAAACTTTGACTTTTGTCACTTTCCAACCCATGCCATCCACCTCACCACAACTTGGCCACACTTACCAACCTGGTTTGGCTTCACCCAACCTCTTGGCAGCATCTACAGTGATGGGTTCGAATTTCCCAACCTCCACAAGTCTATGCCCCATATTGAGTCAATGCCGCAACTTCCCAAAGTAGCTGCAACCAAAATATATAAGCATACGAACTCCAATGTTCGTAACTTTCTTGGTTGTGCTCCAATCGCGACGATTCTTGGTTCGTCGGAAAGCTCTTGAGTAGAGGAATCACTTCAGATATCTGCTCAAGCCAAATAACATACACTCACTCTGAAAAACCAAACCACATCAAACACAAATTTTTGCACACGCTCACACCACGCATGCAACGCACCAACACATGATGGGAGGCAGACAGACGTGAATGCATATGGTTGCATCAAACAACAAGAGGAGCCCAAGCAGAGGAAGCGCAAGTAGAGGAAGCGCAAGCAGAGGAAGTGCAAGAAGAGGAAGCGCAAGTAGAGGAAGCGCAAGCAGAGGAAGCGCAAGCAGAGGAAGCGCAAGCAGACGAAGCGCAAGCAGAGGAAGCACAAGCAGAGGAGGCGCAAGCACAGGAAGCACAAGCAGAGAAAGCGCAAGCAGAGGAAGCACAAGCAGAGGAGCGCAAGCAGAGGAAGCGCAAGTAGAGGAAGCGCAAGGAGAGGAAGCGCAAGCAAAGGAAGCGCAAGTAGAGGAAGCACAAGCAGAGGAAGCGCAAGCAGAGGAGCACAAGCAGAGGAAGCACAAGCAGAGGAAGCGCAAGCAGAGGAAGCGCAAGCAGAGGAAGCGCAAGCAGAGGAAGCACAAGCAAAGGAAGCGCAAGCAGAGGAAGCACAATTAGAGGAGCGCAAGCAAAGGAAGCTCAAGAAGAGGAAGCGCAAGCAGAGGAATCACAAGCAGAGGAAGCACAAGCAGAGAAGTGCAAGTAGAGGAAGCACAAGAAGAGGAAGCACAAGCAGAGGAAGTGCAAGTAGAGGAAGCACAAGCAGAGGAAGCGCAAGCAGAGGAAGCACAAGCAGAGGAAGCATAAGCAGAGGAGCGCAGGCAGAGGAAGCGTAAGCAAAGGAAGAGCAAGCAGAGGAAGCACAAGCAGAGGAAGCACAACCAGAGGAGCGCAAGTAGAGGAAGCAGAAGCAGAGGAAGCGCAAGCAGAGGAATCGCAAGCAGAGGAAGCAGAAGCAGAGGAGCGCAAGCAGAGGAAGCACAAGCAGAGGAAGCACAACCAGAAGAAGCCCAAGTAGAGGAAGCACAAGCAGAGGAAGCGCAAGTAGAGGACGCACAAGCAGAGGAAGCACAAGCAGAGGAGCGCAGGCTGAGGAAGTGTAAGCAAAGGAAGAGCAAGCAGAGGAAGCACAAGCAGAGGAAGCGTAAGCAGAGGAAGCGCAAGAGGAGGAAGCGCAAGCATAGGAAGCGCAAGCAGAGGAAGCGCAAGTAGAGAAAGCACAAGCAGAGGAAGCACAAGCAGAGTAAGCACAAGCAAAGGAAGCACAAGTAGAGGAGCGCAAGCAGAGGAAGCGCAAGCAGAGGAAGAGCAAGCAGAGGAAGCGCAAGCAGAGGAAGCACAAGCAGAGGAAGCGCAAGCAGAGGAAGCACAAGCAGAGGAAGCATAAGCACAGGAAGCACAAACAGAGGAAGCGCATGCAGAGGAAGTGCAAGCAGAGGAAGCGCAAGCAGAGGAAGCACAAGCAGAGGAGGCGCAAGCACAGGAAGCACAAGCGGAGAAAGCGCAAGCAGAGGAAGCACAAGCAGAGGAGCGCAAGCAGAGGAAGCGCAAGTAGAGGAAGCACAAGCAGAGGAAGCGCAAGCAGAGGAGCACAAGCAGAGGAAGCGCAAGCAGAGGAAGCGCAAGCAGAGGAAGCGCAAGCAGAGGAAGCGCAAGCAGAGGAAGCACAAGTAGAGGAAGCGCAAGCAGAGGAGCACAAGCAGAGGAAGCGCAAGTAGAGGAAGCGCAAGCAGAGGAGCGCAAGCAAAGGAAGCTCAAGAAGAGGAAGCGCAAGCAGAGGAATCACAAGCTGAGGAAGCACAAGCAGAGAAGTGCAAGTAGAGGAAGCACAAGAAGAGGAAGCACAAGCAGAGGAAGTGCAAGTAGAGGAAGCACAAGCAGAGGAAGCGCAAGCAGAGGAAGCACAAGCAGAGGAAGTATAAGCAGAGGAGCGCAGGCAGAGGAAGCGTAAGCAAAGGAAGAGCAAGCAGAGGAAGCACAAGCAGAGGAAGCACAAGCAGAGGAGCGCAAGTAGAGGAAGCAAAAGCAGAGGAAGCGCAAGCAGAGGAATCGCAAGCAAAGGAAGCACAAGCTGAGGATCGCAAGCAGAGGAAGCACAAGCAGAGGAAGCACAACCAGAAGAAGCCCAAGTAGAGGAAGCACAAGCAGAGGAAGCGCAAGTAGAGGACGCACAAGCAGAGGAAGCACAAGCAGAGGAGCGCAGGCTGAGGAAGCGTAAGCAAAGGAAGAGCAAGCAGAGGAAGCACAAGCAGAGGAAGCGTAAGCAGAGGAAGCGCAAGAGGAGGAAGCGCAAGCAAAGGAAGCGCAAGCAGAGGAAGCGCAAGTAGAGGAAGCACAAGCAGAGGAAGCACAAGCAAAGGAAGCACAAGCAAAGGAAGCACAAGTAGAGGAGCGCAAGCAGAGGAAGCGCAAGCAGAGGAAGCACAAGCAGAGGAATTGCAAGGAAAGGAAGCACAAGCAGAGGAAGCACAAGCAGAGGAGCGCAAGCAGAGGAAGCGTAAGCAAAGGAAGAGCAAGATGAGGAAGCACAATCAGAGGAAGCATAAGCTGAGGAAGCGCAAGAAGAGGAAGCGCAAGCAGAGGAAGTGCAAGCAGAGGAAGCGCAAGCAGAGGAAGCGTAAGAACAGGAAGTGCAAGCAGAGGAAGCACAAGCAGGAAGCACAAGCAGAGGAAGCAGGAGCAGAGGAGCGCAAGCAAAGGAAGCGCAAGCAGAGGAAGCACAAGCAGAGGAAGCGCAAGCAGAGGAAGCACAAGCAGAGGAAGCACAAGCAGACGAAGCACAAGCAGAGGAAGCACAAGCAGAGGAAGCACAAGCAAAGGAAGCACAAGCAGAGGAAGCACAAACAAAGGAGCCCAAGCAGAGGAAGCGCAAGCATAGGAAGCGCAAGCAGAGGAAGCGCAAGTCGAGGAAGCACAAGCAGAGGAAGAACAAGCAAAGGAAGCGGAAGCTGAAGAAGCACAAGCAGAGGAAACGCAAGCAAAGGAAGCACAAGCAGAGGAAGCACAAGCAGAGGAGCGCAAGCAGAGGAAGCGCAAACAGAGGAAGCGCTAGAAGAGGAAGCACAAGCAGAGGAAATGCAAGCAGAGGAAGCGGGAGCTGAGGAGTCACAACCAGAGGAAGCCCAAGCAGAGGAAGCGCAAGTTGAGGAAGCACAAGCAGAGGAAGCACAAGTAGAGGAAGCACAAGCAGAGGAAGCGTGAGCAGAGGAAGCGCAAGCAGAGGAAGCGTAAGTAGAGGAAGCACAAGCAGAGGAAGCGCAAGCAGAGGAAGCACAAGCAGAAGAAGCACAAGCAGAGGAGCGCAAGCAGAGGAAGGGCAAGAAGAGGAAGCACAAGCAGAGGAAGCGCAAGCAGAGGAAGCGGAAGGTGAGGAGTCACAACCAGAGGAAGCGCAAGTAGAGGAAGCACAAGTTGAGGAAGCACAAGCAGAGGAAGCACAAGCAGAGGAAGCACAAGCAGAGGAAGCGCGAGCAGAGGAAGCGCAAGCAGAGGAAGTGTAAGCAGAGGAAGCACTAGCAGAGGAAGCACAAGAAGAGGAAGCACAAGAAGAGGAAGAACAAGCAAAGGAAGCGCGAGCAGAGTAAGCACAAGTAGAGGAAGCGGAAGCAGAAGAAGCACAAGCAGAGGAAGCGCAAGCAGAGGAAGCACAAGTAGAGAAAGCACAAGCAGAGGAGCGCAAGAAGAGGAAGCGCAAGCAGAGGAAGTGCAAGCAGAGGAAGCGCAAGCAAAGGATGCCCAAGCAGAGGAAGCGCAAGTAGAGGAAGTGCAAGTAGAGGAAGCGCAAGCAGAGGAGTCACAACCAGAGGAAGCGAAAGCAGAGGAAGCGCAAGCAGAGGAAGCACAAGAAGAGGAAGCACAAGCAGAGGAAGCACAAGTAGAGGAAGCACAAGCAGAGGAGCGCAAGTAGAGGAAGCACAAGAAGAGGAAGCACAAGCATAGGAAGTGCAAGTAGAGGAAGCACAAGCAGAGGAAGCGCAAGCAGAGGAAGCACAAGCAGAGGAAGCATAAGCAGAGGAGCGCAGGCAGAGGAAGCGTATGAAAAGGAAGAGCAAGCAGAGGAAGCACAAGCAAAGGAAGCACAAGCAGAGGAGCGCAAGTAGAGGAAGCGAAAGCAGAGGAAGCGCAAGCAGAGGAATCGCAAGCAGAGGAAGCACAAGCAGAGGAGCGCAAGCAGAGGAAGCACAAGCAGAGGAAGCACAAGCAGAAGAAGCGCAAGTAGAGGAAGCACAAGCAGAGGAAGCACAAGTAGAGGAAGCACAAGCAGGAAGCACAAGCAGAGGAAGCACAAGCAGAGGAAGAACAAGCAAAGGAAGCGGAAGCTGAAGAAGCACAAGCAAAGGAAACGCAAGCAAAGGAAGCACAAGCAGAGGAAGCACAAGCAGAGGTGCGCAAGCAGAGGAAGCGCAAACAGAGGAAGCGCAAGAAGAGGAAGCACAAGCAGAGGAAATGCAAGCAGAGGAAGCACAAGCAGAGGAAGCACAAGCAGAGGAAGCGTAAGTAGAGGAAGCGTGAGCAGAGGAAGCGCAAGCAGAGGAAGCGTAAGTAGAGGAAGCACAAGCAGAGGACGCGCAAGCAGAGGAAGCACAAGTAGAGGAAGCACAAGCAGAGGAGCGCAAGCAGAGGAAGCGCAAGCAGAGGAAGGGCAAGAAGAGGAAGCACAAGCAGAGGAAGCGCAAGCAGAGGAAGCGGAAGGTGAGGAGTCACAACCAGAGGAAGCGCAAGGAGAAGAAGCACAAGTTGAGGAAGCACAAGCAGAGGAAGCACAAGCAGAGGAAGCAAAAGCAGAGGAAGCGCGAGCAGAGGAAGCGCAAGCAGAGGAAGTGTAAGCAGAGGAAGCACTAGCAGAGGAAGCGCAAGAAGAGGAAGCACAAGAAGAGGAAGAACAAGCAAAGGAAGCGCAAGCAGAGGAAGCACAAGTAGAGGAAGCGGAAGGAGAAGAAGCACAAGCAGAGGAAGCGCAAGCAGAGGAAGCACAAGCAGAGGAGCGCAAGAAGAGGAAGCGCAAGCAGAGGAAGCGCAAGCAGAGGAAGCGCAAGCAGAGGATGCCCAAGCAAAGGAAGCGCAAGTAGAGGAAGCGCAAGTAGAGGAAGCGCAAGCAGAGGAGTCACAACCAGAGGAAGCGAAAGCAGAGGAAGCGCAAGCAGAGGAAGCACAAGAAGAGGAAGCACAAGTAGAGGAAGCACAAGGTGAGGAAGCACAAGCAGAGGAGCGCAAGTAGAGGAAGCACAAGCAGAGGAAGCACAAGCAGAGGAAGTGCAAGTAGAGGAAGCACAAGCAGACGAAGCGCAAGCAGAGGAAGCACAAGCAGAGGAAGCATAAGCAGAGGAGCGCAGGCAAAGGAAGCGTAAGCAAAGGAAGAGCAAGCAGAGGAAGCACAAGCAGAGGAAGCACAAGCAGAGGAGCGCAAGCAGAGGAAGCACAAGCAGAGGAAGCGCAAGTAGAGGATGCACAAGCAGAGGAAGCTCAAGCAGAGGAGCGCAAGCTGAGGAAGCGTAAGCAAAGGAAGAGCAAGCAGAGGAAGCACAAGCAGAGGAAGCGCAAGTAGAGGATGCACAAGCAGAGGAAGCACAAGCAGAGGAGCGCAGGCTGAGGAAGCCTAAGCAAAGGAAGAGCAAGCAGAGGAAGCACAAGCAGAGGAAGCGTAAGCACAGAAAGTGCAAGAGGAGGAAGCGCAAGCAAAGGAAGCGCAAGCAGAGGAAGCGCAAGTAGACGAAGCACAAGCAGAGGAAGCACAAGCAGAGGAGCGCAGGCAGAGGAAGCGTATGCAAAGGAAGAGCAAGAAGAGGAAGCACAAGCAGAGGAAGCACAAGCAGAGGAGCGCAAGTAGAGGAAGCGAAAGCAGAGGAAGCGCAAGCAGAGGAATCGCAAGCAGAGGAAGCACAAGCAGAGGAGCGCAAGCAGAGGAAGCACAAGCAGAGGAAGCACAAGCAGAAGAAGCGCAAGTAGAGGAAGCACAAGCAGAGGAAGCGCAAGTAGAGGACGCACAAGCAGAGGAAGCACAAGCAGAGGAGCGCAGGCTGAGGAAGCGTAAGCAAAGGAAGAGCAAGCAGAGGAAGCGCAAGCAGAGGATGCCCAAGCAAAGGAAGCGCAAGTAGAGGAAGCGCAAGTAGAGGAAGCGCAAGCAGAGGAGTCACAACCAGAGGAAGCGAAAGCAGAGGAAGCGCAAGCAAAGGAAGCACAAGAAGAGGAAGCACAAGCAGAGGAAGCACAAGCAGAGGAAGCACAAGCAGAGGAGCGCAAGTAGAGGAAGCACAAGCAGAGGAAGCACAAGCAGAGGAAGTGCAAGTAGAGGAAGCACAAGCAGAGGAAGCATAAGCAGAGGAGCGCAGGCAGAGGAAGCGTAAGCAAAGGAAGAGCAAGCAGAGGAGCGCAAGCAGAGGAAGCACAAGCAGAAGAAGCGCAAGTAGAGGAAGCACAAGTAGAGGAAGCGCAAGTAGAGGACGCACAAGCAGAGGAAGCACAAGCAGAGGAAGTGCAAGTAGAGGAAGCACAAGCAGAGGAAGCGCAAGCAGAGGAAGCACAAGCAGAGGAAGCATAAGCAGAGGAGCGCAGGCAGAGGAAGCGTAAGCAAAGGAAGAGCAAGCAGAGGAAGCACAAGCAGAGGAAGCACAAGCAGAGGAGCGCAAGTAGAGGAAGCGAAGGCAGAGGAAGCGCAAGCAGAGGAATCGCAAGCAGAGGAAGCACAAGCAGAGGAGCGCAAGCAGAGGAAGCACAAGCAGAGGAAGCACAAGAAGAAGAAGCGCAAGTAGAGGAAGCACAAGCAGAGGAAGCACAAGTAGATGACGCACAAGCAGAGGAAGCACAAGCAGAGGAGCGCAGGCTGAGGAAGCGTAAGCAAAGGAAGAGCAAGCAGAGGAAGCACAAGCAGAGGAAGCGTAAGCAGAGAAAGCGCAAGAGGAGGAAGCGCAAGCAAAGGAAGCGCAAGCAGAGGAAGCGCAAGTAGAGGAAGCACAAGCAGAGGAAGCACAAGCAGAGGAAGCATAAGGAGGAAGCACAAGCAGAGGAAGCACAAGTAGAGGAGCGTAAGCAGAGGAAGCGCAAGAGGAGGAAGCGCAAGCAAAGGAAGCGCAAGCAGAGGAAGCGCAAGTAGAGGAAGCACAAGCAGAGGAAGCACAAGTAGAGAAAGCACAAGCAGAGGAAGCACAAGCAGAGGAAGCACAAGCAGAGGAAGCGAAAGCTGAGGAAGCGCAAGCAGAGGAATCGCAAGCAGAGGAATCACAAGCAGAGGAAGCGCAAGTAGAGGAAGCGCAAGTAGAGGAAGCACAAGCAGAGGAAGCACAAGTAGAGGAAGCACAAGCAGAGGAAGCACAAGCAGAGGAAGCACAAGCAGAGGAAGCGAAAGCTGAGGAAGCGCAAGCAGAGGAATCGCAAGCAGAGGAAGCACAAGCAGAGGAAGCGCAAGCAGAGGAAGCACAAGCAGAGGAAGCGCAAGTAGAGGATGCACAAGCAGAGGAAGCTCAAGCAGAGGAGCGCAAGCTGAGGAAGCGTAAGCAAAGGAAGAGCAAGCAGAGGAAGCACAAGCAGAGGAAGCGCAAGTAGAGGATGCACAAGCAGAGGAAGCACAAGCAGAGGAGCGCAGGCTGAGGAAGCCTAAGCAAAGGAAGAGCAAGCAGAGGAAGCACAAGCAGAGGAAGCGTAAGCAGAGAAAGTGCAAGAGGAGGAAGCGCAAGCAAAGGAAGCGCAAGCAGAGGAAGCGCAAGTAGACGAAGCACAAGCAGAGGAAGCACAAGCAGAGGAGCGCAGGCAGAGGAAGCGTATGCAAAGGAAGAGCAAGAAGAGGAAGCACAAGCAGAGGAAGCACAAGCAGAGGAGCGCAAGTAGAGGAAGCGAAAGCAGAGGAAGCGCAAGCAGAGGAATCGCAAGCAGAGGAAGCACAAGCAGAGGAGCGCAAGCAGAGGAAGCACAAGCAGAGGAAGCACAAGCAGAAGAAGCGCAAGTAGAGGAAGCACAAGCAGAGGAAGCGCAAGTAGAGGACGCACAAGCAGAGGAAGCACAAGCAGAGGAGCGCAGGCTGAGGAAGCGTAAGCAAAGGAAGAGCAAGCAGAGGAAGCGCAAGCAGAGGATGCCCAAGCAAAGGAAGCGCAAGTAGAGGAAGCGCAAGTAGAGGAAGCGCAAGCAGAGGAGTCACAACCAGAGGAAGCGAAAGCAGAGGAAGCGCAAGCAGAGGAAGCACAAGAAGAGGAAGCACAAGCAGAGGAAGCACAAGCAGAGGAAGCACAAGCAGAGGAGCGCAAGTAGAGGAAGCACAAGCAGAGGAAGCACAAGCAGAGGAAGTGCAAGTAGAGGAAGCACAAGCAGAGGAAGCATAAGCAGAGGAGCGCAGGCAGAGGAAGCGTAAGCAAAGGAAGAGCAAGCAGAGGAGCGCAAGCAGAGGAAGCACAAGCAGAAGAAGCGCAAGTAGAGGAAGCACAAGTAGAGGAAGCGCAAGTAGAGGACGCACAAGCAGAGGAAGCACAAGCAGAGGAAGTGCAAGTAGAGGAAGCACAAGCAGAGGAAGCGCAAGCAGAGGAAGCACAAGCAGAGGAAGCATAAGCAGAGGAGCGCAGGCAGAGGAAGCGTAAGCAAAGGAAGAGCAAGCAGAGGAAGCACAAGCAGAGGAAGCACAAGCAGAGGAGCGCAAGTAGAGGAAGCGAAGGCAGAGGAAGCGCAAGCAGAGGAATCGCAAGCAGAGGAAGCACAAGCAGAGGAGCGCAAGCAGAGGAAGCACAAGCAGAGGAAGCACAAGAAGAAGAAGCGCAAGTAGAGGAAGCACAAGCAGAGGAAGCACAAGTAGATGACGCACAAGCAGAGGAAGCACAAGCAGAGGAGCGCAGGCTGAGGAAGCGTAAGCAAAGGAAGAGCAAGCAGAGGAAGCACAAGCAGAGGAAGCGTAAGCAGAGAAAGCGCAAGAGGAGGAAGCGCAAGCAAAGGAAGCGCAAGCAGAGGAAGCGCAAGTAGAGGAAGCACAAGCAGAGGAAGCACAAGCAGAGGAAGCATAAGGAGGAAGCACAAGCAGAGGAAGCACAAGTAGAGGAGCGTAAGCAGAGGAAGCGCAAGAGGAGGAAGCGCAAGCAAAGGAAGCGCAAGCAAAGGAAGCGCAAGTAGAGGAAGCACAAGCAGAGGAAGCACAAGTAGAGGAAGCACAAGCAGAGGAAGCACAAGCAGAGGAAGCACAAGCAGAGGAAGCGAAAGCTGAGGAAGCGCAAGCAGAGGAATCGCAAGCAGAGGAATCACAAGCAGAGGAAGCGCAAGTAGAGGAAGCGCAAGTAGAGGAAGCACAAGCAGAGGAAGCACAAGTAGAGGAAGCACAAGCAGAGGAAGCACAAGCAGAGGAAGCACAAGCAGAGGAAGCGAAAGCTGAGGAAGCGCAAGCAGAGGAATCGCAAGCAGAGGAAGCACAAGCAGAGGAAGCGCAAGCAGAGGAAGCACAAGCAGAGGAAGCGCAAGTAGAGGATGCACAAGCAGAGGAAGCTCAAGCAGAGGAGCGCAAGCTGAGGAAGCGTAAGCAAAGGAAGAGCAAGCAGAGGAAGCACAAGCAGAGGAAGCGCAAGTAGAGGATGCACAAGCAGAGGAAGCACAAGCAGAGGAGCGCAGGCTGAGGAAGCCTAAGCAAAGGAAGAGCAAGCAGAGGAAGCACAAGCAGAGGAAGCGTAAGCAGAGAAAGTGCAAGAGGAGGAAGCGCAAGCAAAGGAAGCGCAAGCAGAGGAAGCGCAAGTAGACGAAGCACAAGCAGAGGAAGCACAAGCAGAGGAGCGCAGGCAGAGGAAGCGTATGCAAAGGAAGAGCAAGAAGAGGAAGCACAAGCAGAGGAAGCACAAGCAGAGGAGCGCAAGTAGAGGAAGCGAAAGCAGAGGAAGCGCAAGCAGAGGAATCGCAAGCAGAGGAAGCACAAGCAGAGGAGCGCAAGCAGAGGAAGCACAAGCAGAGGAAGCACAAGCAGAAGAAGCGCAAGTAGAGGAAGCACAAGCAGAGGAAGCGCAAGTAGAGGACGCACAAGCAGAGGAAGCACAAGCAGAGGAGCGCAGGCTGAGGAAGCGTAAGCAAAGGAAGAGCAAGCAGAGGAAGCGCAAGCAGAGGATGCCCAAGCAAAGGAAGCGCAAGTAGAGGAAGCGCAAGTAGAGGAAGCGCAAGCAGAGGAGTCACAACCAGAGGAAGCGAAAGCAGAGGAAGCGCAAGCAGAGGAAGCACAAGAAGAGGAAGCACAAGCAGAGGAAGCACAAGCAGAGGAAGCACAAGCAGAGGAGCGCAAGTAGAGGAAGCACAAGCAGAGGAAGCACAAGCAGAGGAAGTGCAAGTAGAGGAAGCACAAGCAGAGGAAGCATAAGCAGAGGAGCGCAGGCAGAGGAAGCGTAAGCAAAGGAAGAGCAAGCAGAGGAGCGCAAGCAGAGGAAGCACAAGCAGAAGAAGCGCAAGTAGAGGAAGCACAAGTAGAGGAAGCGCAAGTAGAGGACGCACAAGCAGAGGAAGCACAAGCAGAGGAAGTGCAAGTAGAGGAAGCACAAGCAGAGGAAGCGCAAGCAGAGGAAGCACAAGCAGAGGAAGCATAAGCAGAGGAGCGCAGGCAGAGGAAGCGTAAGCAAAGGAAGAGCAAGCAGAGGAAGCACAAGCAGAGGAAGCACAAGCAGAGGAGCGCAAGTAGAGGAAGCGAAGGCAGAGGAAGCGCAAGCAGAGGAATCGCAAGCAGAGGAAGCACAAGCACAGGAGCGCAAGCAGAGGAAGCAGAAGCAGAGGAAGCACAAGAAGAAGAAGCGCAAGTAGAGGAAGCACAAGCAGAGGAAGCACAAGTAGATGACGCACAAGCAGAGGAAGCACAAGCAGAGGAGCGCAGGCTGAGGAAGCGTAAGCAAAGGAAGAGCAAGCAGAGGAAGCACAAGCAGAGGAAGCGTAAGCAGAGAAAGCGCAAGAGGAGGAAGCGCAAGCAAAGGAAGCGCAAGCAGAGGAAGCGCAAGTAGAGGAAGCACAAGCAGAGGAAGCACAAGCAGAGGAAGCATAAGGAGGAAGCACAAGCAGAGGAAGCACAAGTAGAGGAGCGTAAGCAGAGGAAGCGCAAGAGGAGGAAGCGCAAGCAAAGGAAGCGCAAGCAGAGGAAGCGCAAGTAGAGGAAGCACAAGCAGAGGAAGCACAAGTAGAGGAAGCACAAGCAGGAAGCACAAGCAGAGGAAGCACAAGCAGAGGAAGAACAAGCAAAGGAAGCGGAAGCTGAAGAAGCACAAGCAGAGGAAACGCAAGCAAAGGAAGCACAAGCAGAGGAAGCACAAGCAGAGGAGCGCAAGCAGAGGAAGCGCAAACAGAGGAAGCGCAAGAAGAGGAAGCACAAGCAGAGGAAATGCAAGCAGAGGAAGCGGGAGCTGAGGAGTCACAACCAAAGGAAGCACAAGCAGAGGAAGCGCAAGTTGAGGAAGCACAAGCAGAGGAAGCACAAGCAGAGGAAGCACAAGCAGAGGAAGCAAGAGCAGAGGAAGCGCAAGCAGAGGAAGCGTAAGTAGAGGAAGCACAAGCAGAGGAAGCGCAAGCAGAGGAAGCACAAGCAGAGGAAGCACAAGCAGAGGAGCGCAAGCAGAGGAAGCGCAAGCAGAGGAAGGGCAAGAAGAGGAAGCACAAGCAGAGGGAGCGCAAGCAGAGGAAGCGGAAGGTGAGGAGTCACAACCAGAGGAAGCGCAAGTAGAGGAAGCGGAAGGTGAGGAGTCACAACCAGAGGAAGCGCAAGCAGAAGAAGCACAAGCAGAGGAAGCACAAGCAGAGGAAGCACAAGCAGAGGAAGCACAAGCAGAGGAAGCACAAGCAGAGGAAGCGCGAGCAGAGGAAGCGCAAGCAGAGGAAGTGTAAGCAGAGGAAGCACTAGTAGAGGAAGCGCAAGAAGAGGAAGCAAAAGAAGAGGAAGAACAAGCAAAGGAAGCGCAAGCAGAGGAAGCACAAGTAGAGGAAGCGGAAGCAGAAGAAGCACAAGCAGGGGAAGCGCAAGGAGACGAAGTACAAGCAGAGGAAGCACATGCAGAGAACCGCAAGAAGAGGAAGCGCAAGCAGAGGAAGTGCAAGCTGAGGAAGCGCAAGCAGAGGATGCCCAAGCAAAGGAAGCGCAAGTAGAGGAAGCGCAAGTAGAGGAAGCGCAAGCAGAGGAGTCACAACCAGAGGAAGCGAAAGCAGAGGAAGCGCAAGCAGAGGAAGCACAAGAAGAGGAAGCACAAGCAGAGGAAGCACAAGCAGAGGAAGCACAAGCAGAGGAGCGCAAGTAGAGGAAGCACAAGTAGAGGAAGCACAAGCAGAGGAAGTGCAAGTAGAGGAAGCACAAGCAGAGGAAGCATAAGCAGAGGAGCGCAGGCAGAGGAAGCGTAAGCAAAGGAAGAGCAAGCAGAGGAAGCACAAGCAGAGGAAGCACAAGCAGAGAACGCAAGTAGAGGAAGCGAAAGCAGAGGAAGCGAAAGCAGAGGAATCGCAAGCAGAGGAAGCACAAGCAGAAGAGCGCAAGCAGAGGAAGCACAAGCAGAGGAAGCACAAGTAGAAGAAGCGTAAGTAGAGGAAGCACAAGCAGAGGAAGCGCAAGTAGAGGACGCACAAGCAGAGGAAGCACAAGCAGAGGAGCGCAGGCTGAGGAAGCGTAAGCAAAGGAAGAGCAAGCAGAGGAAGCACAAGCAGAGGAAGCGTAAGCAGAGGAAGCGCAAGAGGAGAAAGCGCAAGCAAAGGAAGCGCAAGCAGAGGAAGCGCAAGTAGAGGAAGCACAAGCAGAGGAAGCACAAGTAGAGGAAGCACAAGCAGGAAGGACAAGCAGAGGAAGCACAAGTAGAGGAGCGCAAGCAGAGGAAGCGAAAGCAGTGGAAGCAAAAACAGAGGAATTGCAAGGAAAGGAAGCACAAGCAGAGGAAGCACAAGCAGAGGAGCGCAAGCAGAGGAAGCGTAAGGAAAGGAAGAGCAAGATGAGGAAGCACAATCAGAGGAAGCATAAGCTGAGGAAGCGCAAGAAGAGGAAGCGCAAGCAGAGGAAGTGCAAGCAGAGAAAGCGCAAGCAGAGAAAGCGTAAGCAGAGGAAGCGCAAGCAGAGGAAGCACAAGCAGGAAGCACAAGCAGAGGAAGCGTAAGCAGAGGAAGCGCAAGCAGAGGAAGCACAAGCAGGAAGCACAAGCAGAGGAAGCAGGAGCAGAGGAGCGCAAGCAGAGGAAGCACAAGCAGAAGAAGTGCAAGTAGAGGAAGCACAAGTAGAGGAAGCGCAAGTAGAGGACGCACAAGCAGAGGAAGCACAAGCAGAGGAAGTGCAAGTAGAGGAAGCACAAGCAGAGGAAGCGCAAGCAGAGAAAGCACAAGCAGAGGAAGCATAAGCAGAGGAGCGCAGGCAGAGGAAGCGTAAGCAAAGGAAGAGCAAGCAGAGGAAGCACAAGCAGAGGAAGCACAAGCAGAGGAGCGCAAGTAGAGGAAGCGAAGGCAGAGGAAGCGCAAGCAGAGGAATCGCAAGCAGAGGAAGCACAAGCAGAGGAGCGCAAGCAGAGGAAGCACAAGCAGAGGAAGCACAAGAAGAAGAAGCGCAAGTAGAGGAAGCACAAGCAGAGGAAGCACAAGTAGATGACGCACAAGCAGAGGAAGCACAAGCAGAGGAGCGCAGGCTGTGGAAGCGTAAGCAAAGGAAGATCAAGCAGAGGAAGCACAAGCAGAGGAAGCGTAAGCAGAGAAAGCGCAAGAGGAGGAAGCGCAAGCAAAGGAAGCGCAAGCAGAGGAAGCGCAAGTAGAGGAAGCACAAGCAGAGGAAGCACAAGCAGAGGAAGCATAAGAAGGAAGCACAAGCAGAGGAAGCACAAGTAGAGGAGCGTAAGCAGAGGAAGCGCAAGCAGAGGAAGCACAAGCAGAGGAATTGCAAGGAAAGGAAGCACAAGCAGAGGAAGCACAAGCAGAGGAGCGCAAGCAGAGGAAGCGTAAGCAAAGGAAGAGCAAGATGAGGAAGCACAATCAGAGGAAGCATAAGCTGACGAAGCGCAAGAAGAGGAAGCGCAAGCATAGGAAGCGCAGAGGAAGCGCAAGCAGAGGAAGCACAAGCAGAGGAAGCAAAAGCAAAGGAAGCACAAGCAGAGGAAGCGCAAGCAAAGGAAGCGCAAGCAGAGGAAGCGCAAGCAGAGGAAGCGCAAGCAGAGGAAGCACAAGCAGAGGAAGCGGAAGCAGAGAAAGCGCAAGCAGAGGAAGCGCAAGCAGAGGAAGCGCAAGCAGAGGAATCGCAAGCAGAGGAAGCACAAGCAGAGGAGCTCAAGCAGAGGAAGCGCAAGCAGAGGAAGCACAAGCAGAGGAATCACAAGCATAGGAAGCGCAAGCAGAGGAAGCGCAAGCAGAGGAAGCGCAAGCAGAGGAAGCACAAGCAGAGGAAGCGGAAGCAGAGGAAGCGCAAGCAGAGGAAGCGCAAGCAGAGGAAGCGCAAGCAGAGGAATCGCAAGCAGAGGAAGCACAAGCAGAGGAGCGCAAGCAGAGGAAGCGCAAGCAGAGGAAGCACAAGCAGAGGAAGCGCAAGCAGAGGAAGCGTAAGCAGAGGAAGCGCAAGCAGAGGAAGCACAAGCAGGAAGCACAAGCAGAGGAAGCAGGAGCAGAGGAGCGCAAGCAAAGAAAACGCAAGCAGAGGAAGCACAAGCAGAGGAAGCGCAAGCAGAGGAAGCACAAGCAGAGGAAGCACAAGCAGAGGAAGCACAAGCAGAGGAAGCACAAGCAGAGGAAGCACAAGCAAAGGAAGCACAAGCAGAGGAACCACAAGCAAAGGAGCCCAAGCAGAGGAAGCGCAAGCATAGGAAGCGCAAGCAGAGGAAGCGCATGCAAAGGAAGCACAAGCAAAGGAGCGCAAGTAGAGGAAGCACAAGCAGAGGAAGCACAAGTAGAGGAAGCACAAGCAGGAAGCACAAGCAGAGGAAGCACAAGCAAGGGAGCGCAAGCAGAGGAAGCGTAAGCAAAGGAAGAGCAAGATGAGGAAGCACCATCAGAGGAAGCATAAGCTGAGGAAGCGCAAGAAGAGGAAGCGCAAGCAGAGGAAGTGCAAGCAGAGGAAGTGCAAGCAGAGGAAGCGCAGAGGAAGCGCAAGCAGAGGAAGCACAAGCAGGAAGCACAAGCAGAGGAAGCAGGAGCACAGGAGCGCAAGCAAAGGAAGCGCAAGCAGAGGAAGCACAAGCAGAGGAATCGCAAGCAGAGGAATCGCAAGCAGAGGAAGCACAAGCAGAGGAGCGCAAGCAGAGGAAGCGCAAGCAGAGGAAGCGTAAGCAGAGGAAGCGCAAGCAGAGGAAGCACAAGCAGGAAGAACTAGCAGAGGAAGCAGGAGCAGAGGAGCGCAAGCAAAGGAAACGCAAGCAGAGGAAGCACAAGCAGAGGAAGCGCAAGCAGAGGAAGCACAAGCAGAGGAAGCACAAGCAGAGGAAGCACAAGCAGAGGAAGCACAAGCAGAGGAAGCACAAGCAAAGGAAGCACAAGCAGAGGAAGCACAAGCAAAGGAGCCCAAGCAGAGGAAGCGCAAGCATAGGAAGCGCAAGCAGAGGAAGCGCATGCAAAGGAAGCACAAGCAGAGGAGCGCAAGTAGAGGAAGCACAAGCAGAGGAAGCACAAGTAGAGGAAGCACAAGCAAGAAGCACAAGCAGAGGAAGCACAAGTAGAGGAGCGCAAGCAGAGGAAGCGCAAGTAGAGGAAGCACAAGCAGAGGAATTGCAAGGAAAGGAAGCACAAGCAGAGGAAGCACAAGCAGAGGAGCGCAAGCAGAGGAAGCGTAAGCAAAGGAAGAGCAAGATGAGGAAGCACAATCAGAGGAAGCATAAGCTGAGGAAGCGCAAGAAGAGGAAGCGCAAGCAGAGGAAGTGCAAGCAGAGGAAGCGCAAGCAGAGGAAGCGCAGAGGAAGCGCAAGCAGAGGAAGCACAAGCAGGAAGCACAAGCAGAGGAAGCAGGAGCACAGAAGCGCAAGCAAAGGAAGCGCAAGCAGAGGAAGCACAAGCAGAGGAAGCACAAGCAGAGGAAGCCCAAGCAGAGGAAACACAAGCAGAGGAAGCACAAGCAGAGGAAGCACGAGCACAGGAGCGCAAGCAAAGGAAGCGCAAGCAGAGGAAGCACAAGCAGAGGTAGCACAAGCAGAGGAAGCACAAGCAGAGGAAGCACAAGCAGAGAAAGCACAAGCAGAGGAACCACAAGCAGAGGAAGCACAAGCAGAGGAAGCAGAAGCAGAGGAAGCACAAGCATAGGAAGCACAAGCAGAGGAAGCACAAGCAGAGGAAGCAGAAGCAGAGGAAGCACAAGCATAGGAAGCACAAGCAGAGGAAGCACAAGCAAAGGAGCCCAAGCAGAGGAAGTGCAAGCATAGGAAGCGCAAGCAGAGGAAGCGCAAGCAAAGGAAGCGCAAGCAGAGGAAGCGCAAGCAGAGGAAGCGCAAGCAGGGGAAGCGCAAGCAGAGGAAGCGCAAGCAGAGGAAGCGGAAGCAGAAGAAGCGCAAGCAGAGGAAGCGCAAGCAGAGGAAGCGCAAGCAGAGGAATCGCAAGCAGAGGAAGCACAAGCAGAGGAGCGCAAGCAGAGGAAGCGCAAGCAGAGGAAGCACAAGCAGAGGAAGCGCAAGTAGAGGAAGCACAAGCAGAGGAAACGCAAGCAAAGGAAGCACAAGCAGAGGAAGCACAAGCAGAGGAGCGCAGGCAGAGGAAGCGTAAGCAAAGGATGAGCAAGCCGAGGAAGCACAAGCAGAGAAAGCGTAAGCACAGGAAGCGCAAGAAGAGGAAGCGCAAGCACAGGAAGTGCAAGCAGAGGAAGTGCAAGCAGAGGAAGTGCAAGTAGAGAAAGCACAAGCAGAGGAAGCGCAAGTAGAGGAAGCACAAGCAGGAAGCACAAGCAGAGGAAGCACAAGCAGAGGAGCGCAAGCAGAGGAAGCGCAAGCAGAGGAAGCACAAGCAGAGGAAGCGCAAGTAGAGGATGCACAAGTAGAGGAAGCGCAAGCAGAGGAAGCACAAGCAGAGGAAGCACAAGCAGAGGAGCGCAAGCTGAGGAAGCGTAAGCAAAGGAAGCACAAGCAGAGGAAGCACAAGCAGAGGAAGCACAAGCAGAGGAAGAACAAGCAGAGGAGCGCAAGCAGAGGAATCGCAAGCAGAGGAAGCACAAGCAGAAAAAGCGCAAGTAGAGGAAGCACAAGCAGAGGAAGCGCAAGCAAAGAAAGCACAAGCAGAGGAAGCACAAGCAGAGAAGCGCAGGCAGAGGAAGCGTAAGCAAAGGAAGAGCAAGCAGAGGAAGCACAAGCAGAGGAAGCGTAAGCACAGGAAGCGCAAGAAGAGGAAGCGCAAGCAAAGGAAGCGCAAGCAGAGGAAGCGCAAGTAGAGGAAGCACAAGCAGAGGAAGCGCAAGTAGAGGAAGCAAAAGCAGGAAGCACAAGCACAGGAAGCACAAGCAGAGGAGCGCAAGCAGAGGAAGCGCAAGCAGAGGAAGCACAAGCAGAGGAAGCGCAAGTAGAGGATGCACAAGCGGAGGAAGCGCAAGCAGAGGAAGCACAAGCAGAGAACGCACAAGCAGAGGAGCGCAAGCAGAGGAAGCGTAAGCAAAGGATGAGCAAGCAGAGGAAGCACAAGCAGAGGTAGCGTAAGCAGAGGAAGCGCAAGAAGAGGAAGCGCAAGCAGAGGAAGCGCAAGCAGAGGAAGCGCAAGTAGAGGAAGCACAAGCAGAGGAAGCGCAAGCAGAGGAAGCACAAGCAGGAAGCACAAGCAGAGGAAGCACAAGCAGAGGAGCGCAAGCAGAGGAAGCGCAAGCAGAGGAAGCACAAGCAGAAGAAGCGAAAGCAGAGGAAGCACAAGCAGAGGAAGCGCAAGCAGAGGAAGCACAAGCAGAGGAAGCACAAGCGGAGGAGCGCAAGCAGAAGAAGCGCAAGCAGAGGAAGCTTAAGCAGAGGAAACGCAAGCAGAGGAAGCACAAGAAGAGGAAGCACAAGTAGACGAAGCACAAGCAGCGGAAGCGCAAGCAGAGGAAGCACAAGCAGAGGAAGCACAAGCAGGGGAAGCGCAAGGAGAGGAAGCACAAGCAGAAGAAGCACAAGCAGAGGAAGCGCAAGCAGAGGAAGCACAAGCAGAGGAAGCACAAGCAGAGGAGCCCAAGCAGAGGAAGCGCAAGCAGAGGAAGTGCAAGCAGAGGAAGCGCAAGCAGAGGAAGCGCAAGCATAGGAAGCGCAGGCAGAGGAAGCGCAAGCAGAGGAAGCACAAGCAGAGGAAGCGCAAGCAGAGGAAGCACAAGCAGATGAAGTGCAAGCAGAGGAAGCGCAAGCAGAGGAAGCGCAAGCAGAGGAAGCACAAGCAGATGAAGCACAAGCAGAGGAAGCGTAAGCACAGGAAGCGCAAGAAGAGGAAGCGCAAGCACAGGAAGCGCAAGAAGAGGAAGTGCAAGTAGAGAAAGCACAAGCAGAGGAAGCGCAAGTAGAGGAAGCACAAGCAGGAAGCACAAGCAGAGGAAGCACAAGCAGAGGAGCGCAAGCAGAGGAAGCGCAAGCAGAGAAAGCACAAGCAGAGGAAGCGCAAGTAGAGGATGCACAAGTAGAGGAAGCGCAAGCAGAGGAAGCACAAGGAGAGGAAGCACAAGCAGAGGAGCGCAAGCTGAGGAAGCGTAAGCAAAGGAAGCACAAGCAGAGGAAGCACAAGAAGAGGAAGCACAAGCAGAGGAAGAACAAGCAGAGGAGCGCAAGCAGAGGAATCGCAAGCAGAGGAAGCACAAGCAGAGGAAGCGCAAGTAGAGGAAGCACAAGCAGAGGAAGCGCAAGCAAAGGAAGCACAAGCAAAGGAAGCACAAGCAGAGAAGCGCAGGCAGAGGAAGCGTAAGCAAAGGAAGAGCAAGCAGAGGAAGCACAAGCAGAGGAAGCGTAAGCACAGGAAGCGCAAGAAGAGGAAGCGCAAGCACAGGAAGCGCAAGCAGAGGAAGCGCAAGTAGAGGAAGCACAAGCAGAGGAAGCGCAAGTAGAGGAAGCAAAAGCAGGAAGCACAAGCAGAGGAAGCACAAGCAGAGGAGCGCAAGCAGAGGAAGCGCAAGCAGAGGAAGCACAAGCAGAGGAAGCGCAAGTAGAGGATGCACAAGCGGAGGAAGCGCAAGCAGAGGAAGCACAAGAAGAGAACGCACAAGCAGAGGAGCGCAAGCAGAGGAAGCGTAAGCAAAGGAAGAGCAAGCAGAGGAAGCACAAGCAGAAGTAGCGTAAGCAGAGGAAGGGCAAGAAGAGGAAGCGCAAGCAGAGGAAGCGCAAGCAGAGGAAGCGCAAGTAGAGGAAGCACAAGCAGAGGAAGCGCAAGCAGAGGAAGCACAAGCAGGAAGCACAAGCGGAGGAAGCACAAGCAGAGGAGCGCAAGCAGAGGAAGCGCAAGCAGAGGAAGCACAAGCAGAAGAAGCGAAAGCAGAGGAAGCACAAGCAGAGGAAGCGCAAGCAGAGGAAGCACAAGCAGAGGAAGCACAAGCAGAGGAGCGCAAGCAGAGGAAGCGCAAGCAGAGGAAGCTTAAGCAGAGGAAACGCAAGCAGAGGAAGCACAAGCAGAGGAAGCACAAGCAGAGGAAGCACAAGCAGCGGAAGCGCAAGCAGAGGAAGCGCAAGCAGAGGAAGCACAAGCAGGGGAAGCGCAAGGAGAGGAAGCACAAGCAGAAGAAGCACAAGCAGAGGAAGCGCAAGCAGAGGAAGCACAAGCAGAGGAAGCACAAGCAGAGGAGCCCAAGCAGAGGAAGCGCAAGCAGAGGAAGCGCAAGCAGAGGAAGCGCAAGCAGAGGAAGCGCAAGCAGAGGAAGCGCAGGCAGAGGAAGCGCAAGCAGAGGAAGCACAAGCAGAGGAAGCGCAAGCAGAGGAAGCACAAGCAGAGGAAGCACAAGCAGAGGAGCGCAGGCAGAGGAAGCGTAAGCAAAGGAAGAGCAAGCAGAGGAAGCACAAGCAGAGGAAGCGTAAGCAATGGAAGCGCAAGAAAAGGAAGCGCAAATAGAGGAAGCGCAAGCAGAGGAAGCGCAAATAGAGGAAGCACAATCAGAGGAAGCGCAAGCAGAGGAAGCTCAAGCAGATGAAGTGCAAGCAGAGGAAGCGCAAGCAGAGGAAGCGCAAGCAGATGAAGCACAAGCAGAGGAAGCACAAGTAGAGGAAGCGCAAGCAGAGGAAGCGCAAGCAGAGGAATCGCAAGCAGAGGAAGCACCAGCAGAGGAGCGCAAGTAGAGGAAGCACAAGCAGAGGAAGCGCAAGCAGAGGAAGCGCAAGTAGAGGAAGCACAAGCAGAGGAAGCGCAGGCAGAGGAAGCGTAAGCAAAGGAAGAGCAAGCAGAGGAAGCAAAAGCAGGAAGCACAAGCAGAAGAAGCACAAGCAGAGGAGCGCAAGCAGAGGAAGCGCAAGCAGAGGAAGCGCAAGGAGAGGAAGCGCAAGCAGAGGAAGCGCAAGCAGAGGAAGCACAAGCAGAGGAAGCGCAAGCAGAGGAGCACAAGCAGAGGAAGCGCAAGCAGAGGAAGCGCAAGCAGAGGAAGCGCAAGTAGAGGAATCGCAAGCAGAGGAAGCACAAGCAGAGGAAGCGCAAGCATAGGAAGCACAAGCAGAGCAAGCACAAGTAGAGGAGCGCAAGTAGAGGAAGCGCAAGCGGAGGAAGCGCAAGGAGAGGAATCACAAGCAGAGGAAGCACAAGCAGAGGAGCGCAAGTAGAGAAAGCGCAAGCAGAGGAAGCACAAGGAGAAGAAGCGCAAGTAGAGGAAGCACAAGCAGAGGAAGCGCAAGCAGAGGAAGCCCAACTAGAGGAAGCACAAGCAGAGGAGCGTAGGCAGAGGAAGCGTAAGCAAAGGAAGAGCAAGCAGTGGAAGCACAAGCAGAGGAAGCGCAAGCAGAGGAAGCGCAAGCAGAGGAAGTGCAAATAGAGGAAGCACAAGCAGACGAAGCACGAGCAGAGGAAGCACAAGCAGGAAGCACAAGCAGAAGAAGCACAAGCAGAGGAGCGCAAGAAGAGGAAGCGCAAGCAGAGGAAGCACAAGATGAGGCAGCACAAGCAGAGGAGCGTTAGTAGAGGAAGCCCAAGCAGAGGAAGCACAAGAAGGAAGCACAAGCCGAAGAAGCAGAAGCAGAGGAGCGCAACCAGAGGAAGCGCAAGCAGAGGAAGAACAAGTAGAGGAAGCGCAAGCAGAGGAAGCACAAGAAGAGCAAGCGCAAGCAGAGGAAGCACAAGCAGAGGAAGCACAAGCAGAGGAGCGCAAGTAGAGGAAGCGCAAGTAGAGGAAGCACAAGCAGAGGAAGCACAAGTAGAGGAAGCACAAGCAGAGGAAGCGCAAGCAGAGGAAGCGCAAGCAGAGGAAGCACAAGCAGAGGAAGTGCAAGCAGAGGAAGCACAAGCAGAGGAAGCGCAAGCAGAGGAAGCGCAAGCAGAGGAAGCACAAGCAGAGGAAGCACAAGCAGAGGAGCCCAAGCAGAGGAAGCGCAAGTAGAGGAAGCGCAAGCAGAGGAAGCACAAGCAGAGGAAGCGCAAGCAGAGGAAGCGCAAGCAGAGGAAGCGCAAGCAGAGGAAGCGCAAGCAAAGGAAGTGTAAGCAGAGGAAGCACAAGTAGAGGAAGCGCAAGCAGAGGAAGCATAAGCAGAGGAAGCATAAGAAGAGGAAGCACAAGCAGAGAAAGCGCAAGCAGAGGAAGCGCAAGCAGAGGAAGCACAAGCAGAGAAGGCGCAAGCAGACGAAGCACAAGCAGAGGAAGCGCAAGCAGAGAAAGCGCAAGCACAGGAAGCGCAAGTAGAGGAAGCACAAGCAGAGAAGGCGCAAGCAGACGAAGCACAAGCAGAGGAAGCGCAAGCAGAGGAAGAACAAGCAGAGGAGTGCAAGTAGAGGAAGCGCAAGCAGAGGAAGCGCAAATAGAGGAAGCGCAAGCAGAGGAAGCGCAAGCATAGGAATCGCAAGAAGAGGAAGCACAAGCAAAGGAGCACAAGCAGAGGAAGCCCAAGCAGAGGAAGCACAAGCAGAGGAAGCGCAAGTAGAGGAAGCACAAGCAGAACAAGCGCAAGCAGAGGAAGCACAAGCAGAGGAAGCACAAGCAGAGGAGCCCAGGCAGAGGAAGCGTAAGCAAAGGAAGAGCAAGCAGAGGAAGCACAAGCAGAGGAAGCGTAAGCAGTGGAGGCGCAAGTAGAGGAAGCACAAGTAGAGGAAGCGCAAGCAGAGGAAGCACAAGCTGGAAGCACAGGCAGAGGAAGCACAAGCAGAGGAGCGCAAGCATAGGAAGCGCAAGCAGAGGAAGCACAAGCAGAGGAAGCGCAAGGAGAGGAAGCACAAGCAGAGGAAGCGCAAGCAGAGGAAGCACAAGCAGAGGAAGCGCAAGCAGAGGAGCGCAAGCAGAGGAAGCGTAAGCAAAGGAAGAGCAAGCAGAGGAAGCACAAGGAGAGGAAGCGTAAGCAGAGGAAGCGCAAGAAGAGGAAGCGCAAGCAAAGGAAGCGCAAGCAGAGGAAGCGCAAGCAGAGAAAGCGTAAGCAGAGGAAGCGCAAGCAGAGGAAGCACAAGCAGGAAGCACAAGTAGAGGAAGCAGAAGCAGAGAAGCGCAAGCAGAGGAAGCCCAAGCAGAGAAAGCACAAGCAGAGGAAGCGGAAGCAGAGGAAGCACAAGCAGAGGAAGCACAAGTAGAGGAAGCGCAAGCAGAGGAAGCACAAGCAGAGGAAGCACAAGCAAAGGAGCCCAAGCAGAGAAAGCGCAAGCAGAGGAAGCGCAAGCAGAGGAAGCGCAAGTAGAGGAAGCGCAAGCAGAGGAAGCGCAAGCAGAGGAAGCGCAAGCAGAGGAAGCGCAAGTAAAGGAAGCGCAAGCAGAGGAAGCGTAAGCAGAGGAAGCACAAGCAGAGGAATCGCAAGCAGAGGAAGCACAAGCTGAGGAAGCATAAGCAGAGGAGGCATAAGCAGAGAAAGCGCAAGCAGAGGAAGCGCAAGCAGAGGAAGCGCAAGCAGAGGAAGCGCAAGCAGAGGAAGCGCAAGCAGAGGAAGCACAACCAGAGGAAGGCGCAAGCAGAGGAAGCACAAGCAGAGGAAGCGCAAGCAGAGGAAGCACAAGCAGAGGAGCGCAAGCAGAGGAAGCGCAAGCAGAGGAAGCACAAGCAGAGGAGCGCAAGCAGAGGAAGCGCAAGCAAAGGAAGCACAAGCAGAGGAAGCACAAGCAGAGGAAGCGCAAGCAGAGGAAGCACAAGCAGAGGAAGCACAAGCAGAGGAGCGCAAGCAGAGGAAGTGTAAGCAAAGGAAGAGCAAGCAGAGGAAGCACAAGCAGAGGAAGCGTAAGCAGAGGAAGCGAAAGAAGAGGAAGCGCAAGCATAGGAAGCGCAAGCAGAGGAAGCGCAAGAAGAGGAGCACAAGCAGATGAAGTGCAAGCAGAGGAAGCGCAAGCAGAGGAAGAACAAGCAGAGGAAGCGCAAGCAGAGGAAGCGCAAGCAGAGGAAGCGCAAGCAGAGGAAGCGCAAGCAGAGGAAGCAAAAGCAGAGGAAGCACAAGTAGAGGAAGCGCAAGCAGAGGAAGCACAAGCAGAGGAAGCACAAGCAGAGGAGCCCAAGCAGAGGAAGCGTAAGCAGAGGAAGCGCAAGCAGAGGAAGATCAAGCAGAGAAAGCACAAGCAGAGGAAGCACAAGCAGAGGTAGCGCAAGAAGAGGAAGCGCAAGCAGAGGAAGCGCAAGCAGAGGAAGCGTAAGCAGAGGAAGCGCAACCAGAGGAAGCACAAGCAGAGGAAGCAGAGGAAGAGGAGCCCAAGTAGAGGAAGCGCAAGCAGAGGAAGCACAAGCAGAGGAATCGCAAGCAGAGGAAGCACAAGAAGAGGAAGCACAAGCAGAGGAAGCACAACCAAAGAGCACAAGCAGAGGAAGCGCAAGCAGAGGAAGCGCAAGTAGAGGAAGCACAAGCACAGGAAGCACAAGTAGAGGAACCACAAGCAGAACAAGCGCAAGCAGAGGAAGCGCAAGCAGAGGAAGCAAAAGCAGAGGAAGCGCAAGTAGAGGAAGCACAAGCAGAGGAAGCACAAGCAGAGAAAGCGCAAGCAAAGGAAGCACAAGCAGAGGAAGCACAAGCAAAGGATCCAAAGGAGAGAAAGCGCAAGCAGAGGAAGCGCAAGCAGAGGAAGCGCAAGCAGAGGAAGCGCAAGCAGAGGAAGCGCAAGCAGAGGAAGCGCAAGCAGAGGAAGCGCAAGCACAGGAAGCGCAAGCAGAGGAAGCGTAAGGAGAGGAAGCACAAGCAGAGGAAGCGCAAGCAGAGGAAGCACAAGCTGAGGAAGCATAAGGAGAGGAAGCATAAGCAGAGAAAGCGCAAGCAGAGGAAGCGCAATCAGAGGAAGCGCAAGCAGAGGAAGCGCAAGCAGAGGAAGCGCAAGGAGAGGAAGCACAAGCAGAGGAAGCGCAAGCAGAGAAGCACAAGCAGAGGAAGCGCAAGCAGAGGAAGCACAAGCAGAGGAGCGCAAGCAGAGGAAGCGCAAGCAGAGGAAGCACAAGCAGAGGAAGGACAAGCAGAGGAAGCGCAAGCAAAGGAAGCACAAGCAGAGGAAGCGCAAGCAGAGGAAGCACAAGCAGAGGAAGCGCAAGCAGAGGAAGCACAAGCAGAGAAAGCACAAGCAGAGGAGCGCAAGCAGAGGAAGCGTAAGCAAAGGAAGAGCAAGCAGAGGAAGCACAAGCAGAGGAAGCACAAGTAGAGGAAGCGCAAGCAAAGGAAGCACAAGCAGAGGAAGCGCAAGCAGAGGAAGCACAAGCAAAGGAAGCGCAAGCAGAGGAAGCGCAAGCAGAGAAAGCACAAGCAGAGGAGCGCAAGCAGAGGAAGCACAAGCAGAGGAGCGCAAGCAGAGGAAGCGCAAGCAAAGGAAGCACAAGCAAAGGAAGCCTAAGCAGAGGAAGCACAAGCAGAGGAAGCGCAAGCACAGAAAGCACAAGCAGAGAAAGCACAAGCACAGGAGCGCAAGCAGAGGAAGCGTAGGCAAAGGAAGAGCAAGCAGAGGAAGCACAAGCAGAAGAAGCGTAAGCAGAGGAAGCGCACGAAGAGGAAGCACAAGCATAGGAAGCGCAAGCAGAGGAAGCGCAAGCAGAGGAGCACAAGCAGAGGAAGTGCAAGCAGAGGAAGCGCAAGCAGAGGAAGAACAAGCAGAGGAAGCGCAAGCAGAGGAAGCGCAAGCAGAGGAAGCGCAAGCAGAGGAACCGCAAGCAGAGGAAGCACAAGCAGAGGAAGCACAAGCAGAGGAAGCGCAAGCAGAGGAAGCATAAGCAGAGGAAGCACAAGCAAAGGAGCCCAAACAGAGGAAGCGCAAGCAGAGGAAGCACAAGCAGAGGAAGAGCAAGCAGAGAAAGCACAAGTAGAGGAAGCACAAGCAGCGGAAACACAACTAGAGGAAGTGCAAGCAGAGGAAGCACAAGTAGAGGAAGCACAACCAAAGAGCACAAGCAGAGGAAGCGCAAGCAGAGGAAGCGCAAGTAGAGGAAGCACAAGCAGAGGAAGCACAAGCAGAGGAACCACAAGCAGAAGAAGCGCAAGCAGAGGAAGCGCAAGCAAAGGAAGCAAAAGCAGAGGAAGCGCAAGTAGAGGAAGCACAAGCACAGGAAGCACGAGCAGAGAAAGCGCAAGCAGAGGAAGCACAAGCAGAGGAAGCACAAGCAAAGGAGCCCAAGAAGAGAAAGCGCAAGCACAGGAAGCGCAAGCAGAGGAAGCGTAAGCAGAGGAAGCACAAGCAGAGGAAGCGCAAGCAGAGGAAGCACAAGCTGAGGAAGCATAAGCAGAGGAAGCATAAGCAGCGAAAGCGCAAGCAGAGGAAGCGCAAGCAGAGGAAGCGAAAGCAGAGGAAGCGCAAGCAGAGGAAGCACAAGCAGGGGAAGCGCAAGCAGAGAAGCACAAGTAGAGGAAGCGCATGCAGAGGAAGCACAAGCAGAGGAGCGCAAGCAGAGGAAGCGCAAGCAGAGGAAGCACAAGCAGAGGAGCGCAAGCAGAGGAAGCGCAAGCAAAGGAAGCACAAGCAGAGGAAGCGCAAGCAGAGGAAGCACAAGCAGAGGAAGCGCAAGCAGAGGAAGCACAAGCAGAGAAAGCACAAGAACAGGAGCGCAAGCAGAGGAAGCGTACGCAAAGGAAGAGCAAGCAGAGGAAGCACAAGCAGAGGAAGCGTAAGCAGAGGAAGCACAAGAAGAGGAAGCGCAAGCATAGGAAGCGCAAGCAGAGGAAGCGCAAGCAGAGAAGCAAAAGCGGAGGAAGTGCAAGCAGAGGAAGCGCAAGCAGAGGAAGAACAAGCAGAGGAAGCGCAAGCAGAGGAAGCGCAAGCAGAGGAAGCGCAAGCAGAGGAAGCACAAGCAGAGGAAGCACAAGCAGAGGAAGCACAAGCAAAGGAAGCACAAGCAGAGGAGCCCAAGTAGAGGAAGCGCCTGCTGAGGAAGCGCAAGCAGAGGAAGAGCAAGCAGAGAAAGCACAAGCAGAGGAATCACAAGCAGAGGAAGCGCAAGAAGAGGAAGCACAAGCAGATCAAGCACAAGCAGAGGAGCGCAAGCAGAGGAAGCGTAAGCAAAGGAAGAGCAAGCAGAGGAAGCACAAGCAGAGGAAGCGTAAGCAGAGGAAGCGCAAGAAGAGGAAGCGCAAGCATAGGAAGCGCAAGCAGAGGAAGCGCAAGCAGAGGAGCACAAGCAGAGGAAGCACAAGCAGAGGAAGCGCAAGCAGAGAAAGCACAAGCAGAGAAAGCACAAGCAGAGGAGCGCAAGCAGAGGAAGCGTAAGCAAAGGAAGAGCAAGCGGAGGAAGCACAAGCAGAGGAAGCTTAAGCAGAGGAAGCACAAGAAGAGGAAGCGCAAGCATAGGAAGCGCAAGCAGAGGAAGCGCAAGCAGAGGAGGACAAGCAGAGGAAGTGCAAGCAGAGGAAGCGCAAGCAGAGGAAGAACAAGTAGAGGAAGCGCAAGCAGAGGAAGCGCAAGCAGAGGAAGCGCAAGCAGAAGAAGCGCAAGCAGAGGAAGCACAAGCAGAGGAAGCACAAGCAGAGGAAGCGCAAGCAGAGGAAGCACAAGCAGAGGAAGCACAAGCAGAGGAAGCGCAAGCAGAGGAAGCGCAAGCAGAGGAAGCGCAAGCAGAAGAAGCACAAGCAGAGAAAGCACAAGCAGAGGAAGCACAAGCAGCAGAAGCACAACTAGAGGAAGCGCAAACAGAGGAAGCACAAGTAGAGGAAGCACAAGCAGAGGAGCGCAAGCAGAGGAAGCGCAAGCAGAGGAAGTGCAAGCAGAGGAAGCAGAAGCAGAGGAAGCACAGGCACAGGAAGCGCAAGCAGAGGAAGCACAAGCAGTGGAAGCACAAGCACAAGAGCCCAAGCAGAGGAAGCGCAAGTAGAGGAAGCACAAGCAGAAGAAGCACAAGACGAGGAAGCGCAAGCAGAGGAAGCACAAGCAATGAAAGCACAAGCAGAAGAAGCGCAAGCAGAGGAAGCACAAGAAGAGGAAGCGCTCTCAGAGGAAGCACAATCAGAGGAAGCGTAAGCAGAGGAAGCGCAAGCAGAGGAAGCACAAGCAGAGGAAGCACAAGCAGAGGAAGCGCAAGCAGAGGAAGCACAAGAAGAGGAAGCGCAAGCAGAGGAAGCGCAAGTAGAGGAAGCACAAGCAGAGGATGCGCAAGTAGAGGAAGCACAAGCAGAGGAAGCACAAGCAGAGGAAGCGCAAGCAGAGGAAGCATAAGCAGAGGAAGCACAAGCAGAGGAGCCCAAGCAGAGGAAGCGCAAGCAGAGGAAGCGCAAGCAGAGGAAGCGCAAGCAGAGGAAGCGCAAACAGAGGAAGCGCAAGCAAAGGAAGCGCAAGTAGAGGAAGCACAAGCAGAGGAAGCGCAAGCAGAGGAAGCACAAGCAGAGGAAGCATAAGCAGAGGAAGCAAAAGCAGAGAAAGCGCAAGCAGAGGAAGCGCAAGCAAAGGAAGCGCAAGCAGAGGACGCACAAGCAGAGGAGGCGCAAGTAGAGGAAGCAGAAGCAGAGGAAGCGCAAGGAGAGGAAGCACAAGCAGAAGAGCGCAAGCAGAGGAAACGCAAGCAGAGGAAGCGCAAATAGAGGCAGCGCAAGCATAGGAAGCACAAGAAGAAGAAGCGCAAGCAGTGGAAGCGCAAGCAGAGGAAGCACAAGCAGAGGAAGCACAAGCACAGGAAGCGCAAGCAGAGGAGGCGCAAGCAGAGGAAGCGTAAGCAGAGGAAGCGCAAGCAGAGGAGCGCAAGTGGAGGAAGCGTAAGCAGAGGAAGCGCAAACAGAGGAAGCATAACTAGAGGAAGCGTAAGCAGAGGAAGCGCAAGTAGAGGAGCGCAAGTGGAGGAAGCGTAAGCAGAGGAAGCGCAAGCAAGGGAAGCGCAAGCAGAGGAAGCGTAAGCAGAGGAAGCGCAAGTAGAGGAAGCGCAAGCAGAGGATGCACAAGAAGAGGAAGTACAAGAAGAGGAAGCACAAGCGGAGGAAGCACAAGTAGAGGATGCGCAAGCAGAGGAATCACAAGCCGAGGTAGCGCAAGCAGAGGAAGCGCAAGGAGAGGAAGCGCAAGCAGAGGAAGCGCAAGCAGAGGAAGCGCAAGCAGAGGAAGAACAAGCAGAGGAAGCGCAAGCAGCGGAAGCGCAAGCAGAGGAAGCACAAGAAAAGGAAGCGTAAGCAGAGGAAGCACAAGCAGAGGAAGCACAAGCAGAGGAGGCACAAGCATAGGAAGTGCAAGCAGAGGAAGCACAAGCAGAGGAAGCATAAGCAGAGGAAGCACAAGCAGAGGAAGCGCAAGCAGAGGAAGCACAAGCAGAGAAAGCGCAAGCCGAGGAAGCACAAGCAGAGGAAGCGCAAGCAAAGGAAGCACAAGCAGAGGAAGCGCAAGCAGAGAAAGCGTAAGCAGAGGAAGCACAAGCAAAGGATGCGCAAGCAGAAGAAGCGCAAGCACAGGAAGAAGAAGCAGAGGAAGCGCAAACAGAGGAAGCGTAAGCAGAGGAAGCGCAAGCAGAGGAAGCGCAAGCAGAGGAAGCACATGCAGAGGAAGCATGAGCAGAGGAAGCGCAAGCGTCAAAAGCACAAGCAGAGGAAGCGCAAGCAGAGGAAGTGCAAGCAGAGGAACCACAAGCAGAGGAAGCGCAAGCAAAGGAAGCACAAGCAGAGGAAGCGCAAGCAGAGAAAGCGTAAGCAGATGAAGCACAAGCAAAGGAAGCGTAAACAAAAGAATCGCAAGCAGAGGAATCACAAGCTAAGGAAGCACAAGCAGAGGAAGCGCAAGCTGAGGAAGCACAAGCAGAGGAAGCACAAGCAGAGGAAGCACAAGCAGAGGAAGCACAAGCAGAGGAAGCACAAGCAGAGGAAGCACAAGCAGAGGAAGCACAAGCAGAGGAAGCGCAAGAAGAGGAAGAACAAGCAGAGGAAGCGCAAGCTGAGGGAGCACAAGCAGAGGAAGCGCAAGCAGAGGAAGCGCAAGCAGAGGAAGCACAAGCAGAGGAAGCGCAAGCAGAGGAAGCGTTAGCAGAGGAAGCACAAGCAGAGGAAGGGCACGCAGAGGAAGCAAAAGCAGAGAAAGCGCATGTAGAGGAAGCACAAGCAAAGGAAGCGCAAGAAGAGGAAGCACAACCAGAGGAAGCGCACGCAGAGGAAGCAAAACCAGAGGAAGCGCATATAGAGGAAGCACAAGCAAAGGAAGCGCAAGCAAAGGAAGCACAAGCAGAGGAAGCGAAAGAAAAGGGAGCACAAGCAGAGGAAGCACAAGCAGAGGAAGCGCAAGCAGAGGAAGGGCAGGCAGAGGAAGCACAAGTAGAGGAAGCGCAAGCACAGGAAGCACAAGCAGAGGAAGCCCAAGCGGAGGAGTGCAAGCGGAGGAAGCAGAAGGAGAGGACACGTAAGCAGAGAAAGGACAAGCAGAGGAAGCGCAAGCAGAGGAAGCGGAAGCAGAGGAAGCGCAAGCAGAGGAAGCACAGGCAGAGGAAGCACAAGGAGAGGAAGTGCAAGCAGAGGAAGCACAAGCAGAGCAAGCACAAGTAGAGGAAGCGCAAGCAGAGGAAGCACAAGCAGAGGAAGCACAAGCAGAGGAGCGCAAGCAGAGGAAGCACAAGCTGAGGAAGCACTAGCAGAGGAAGCATAAGCAGAGGAAGCACAAGCAGAGGAAGCACAAGCAGAGGAAGCGCAAGCAGAGGAAGCACAAGTAGAGGAAGCGCAAGTAGAGGAAGCACAAGCAGAGGAAGCGCAAGTAGAGGAAGCACAAGCTGAGGAAGCGCAAGCTGAGGAAGCACAAGGAGAGGAAGCATAAGCAGAGGAAGCACAAGCAGAGGAAGCAGAAGCAGAGGAGCGCAAGCAAAGGAAGCACATGTAGAGGAAGCGCAAGCACAGGAAGCACAAGCAGAGGAAGCGCAAGCAGAGGAAGCACAAGCAGAGGAAGCGCAAGCAGAGGAAGCGTAAGCAGAGGAAGCACAAGCGGAGGAAGCGCACGCAGAGGAAGCACAAGTAGAGGAAGCACAAGCAGAGGAAGCATAAGCAGAGGAAGCACAAGCAGAGGAAGCACAAGCAGAGGAAGCGCAAGCAAAGGAAGCACTAGCAGAGGAAGCGCAAGCAGAGGAAGCGCAAGCAGAGGAAGCGCAAGGAGAGGAAGCACAAGGAGAGGAAGCACAAGTAGAGGAAGTGCAAGCAGAGGAAGCACAAGCAGAGGAGCGCTCTCTGCTGGTCATGGGCATGGCTGTCAGACACCGACCCCAAGTAGCTTGGGCGATGGGAGGGTGGGCGATGGGAGGGTGGGAGATGGGAGGGTGGGAGACGGGATGGTGGGCGATGGGAGGGTGGGAGATGGGAGGGTGGGAGACGTGAGGGTGGGCGATGGGAGGGTGGGAGGCTGGGAGGGTGCGCGATGGGAGGGTGGGCGATGGGAGGGTGGGAGGGTGGGAGATGGGAGGGCAGCAACTCACGTTGCCTTTGCAGCTTGTGTGAATATTCTAGGTGGCGACCTTGGTTTGCCCATGATGTTTTCTTCTGTGCTTAGTATGTCTCGTTTCTAGCCATGTTCTGCCATGTGCTGCCCTCTCCCTGTGCTGCCTGCCCCCATATGGTTCGCCTTGCCTCCAGTCACCCACTGACTCCTCGCCCATGCAAGCAGCAGCGCGCCCTGCTGGCACCATGGGCAAGCAGGGGGCATGTGTGACATGGCAAGGGCTGCCATGCTTGTCACAGCAAGGGCTGCCATGCTTGTCACAGGAAGGGCTGCTATGCTTGTCACAGCAGGGGCTGCCATGCTTGTCACAGCAAGGGACTATTGCCGTGGAGAGTTGTGTTAGTCTCTGGACGCCCACCGGCCCCTGCAGGCAATGATGCCACTTGCAGTGACACTAGCATCAGCCCTCAACTCAACCTGGTGCTGGCCTGTGCAAGATATCAACATCCCATGTGTCAACAACTATGCATTTGCAAACTAATCATTGCCTTGTTCCACGAACTCTGTTCTAATCTTAATACACATCATGAAATAACAAGGTTCAGCTGTAACTGGTTCAACAAACCCAATATCTAACTGCCTTCAGCATCAACAATGAAGAAAGGAATGTCATGCGATGCGAGCACATCGAAATATCATACTACGCGACCCCCTTAACCTCGCAAATCTGCTCCTGATCCATAGCGCTGAATACAATAGCGACAAGCTCCTTGTCTTCTACACAGCAGGCGGTGATCTGCACGAACATCCAAACGTGGAATTGTGCACGCCATGAAACACATGCCATGATTGGGCACGCCATGAAACACATGCCATGATTGGGCACGCCATGCAACACATGCCATGATTGGGCACGCTATGAAACACATGCCATGATTGGGCACGCCATGAAACACATGGCGCAAGAGAGAATATACGGGCGTCCAGTGGATACCTGTGAGCGGAGAGGCTCGTGGGTGGGAAGGCAAAGATCATCCCTCGTGTCGCCCGCATCGTTCATAAGAGATACCTAAAGCAGCATGAAGCCAATTATTAGGACGCCAAGAACAAACGCCGGGGAACAACAACATGACACAAACCTATCGGCACTTACTCTGTCTTACCCCACCAAGCCGAGAATCCGATATTCCGTTTTGAGCACTGTTGGAATCTGGGAAGCCATCAACCATTCGTGAGAAACGTGACAGGCACGAACGACCAACGAAGATTGCTGTGCAAATCCACTCACCTCGACATTGAGAGCAGCCGGCACAGACTCTTCAAGCCTTTCATTGTTGAATAAATCAGTTGCGACAAAATGACACTTCTTGTGACCGTTCGTCGTAAGAGAGGTAGTAACTTCCACCACCTGTGGAATTTCGATCATGAAAATACCGTATGAGAAAGAACGCGAAACATCAGCGGCCAAGAAAGCTACCATTTCGCGGGAAAGAATGGACAAGCGGAAGCGAGCAATCTCGCTGCACTGATACAGCTGAGCATTTCCCTCATCGTATACCTTGCAAGGCCGCCCCGCAATTACAATGTACCTTCCCTTGCGAACACTTCCAGCCTGTTGCGAACTCGTCGTCGACATGGCTTCGCTGCCTTGGACCTAGGAACGACGAGGGAAACACCGGCAGTGGGGAGGAAGGCGAGCTGAGCGCGCAGAACAACTGAAATCAAGATGATGGGATCGAGGCTAAAATAATCGTACGGTGCGTTCACGGGAGGTCGAGATGCGTTCAAGCAAGAGTGACCAAAACGAGGGAAGGTCAAGATGACATTAAAGCATGTTCTAATGGGCGTCTTGACCGCTGTGGTCAGGACGCGCCATTCGGGATTGTCCCATCCCGCGCGGACATGGTTCCGATCGCGTCAGAAGTCGGACGCGCATCGTCTAGCTCAAAACGATAAATACAAAGAAGGCGTCTCAAAAATGGCTTGCCATCGTCGTCCTAACAGCCACCCAAGCAATTCAGCCGAGGGTTCTGGAAAATTGTGGACTGGGGTGGTTCACCTATAGTGTGCTTACAGTTCATAATAAGCGGTAGAGTACAATGCTGTGCAATGCACAGCGGTTTGTTTTCTCAGGCGCTCTGAACCGCTTTCCACCAAACTAAACAGTGTGATACATGAAACGTAAGCACAAGAAGAATGACCAGCCCTTGCCAACCAAGCAACAGACGCGCCCAACCGATAGCGGTGTTCCCGTGACGCAATAGAGTTGCATGTTATATAGAGTCTGTATATCTTTATTCTAATACAGTGCATGCAACTCGTTGTCTCAATTTTCTTGCTTAGCAACATCCGGTGCATTACACCAAGGGGAGAAAAACAACGACCTGATTATCAACAAGTGCAACCACTTGCACAAATTTTCAGCGATTAAAAAATAATACCTTATTGAACTCTATTGAACACAAGCAACAGCTGGCTTGATTATACTCAACTCACCCAATACCAGCTGGGAGAACAGAGGAATGTACAAATGTTACACACGCACAACTCCCTAACTGCATAACACAGCTTGCTATCTGTACACTCAAGGCAACCCATGGCAACAGGCTGCAACCACCAACACAGCATAGAGCAGAGCCATGTAATAGTGCACGCAAACCACATGACATCTGTTTCTGGTGCATACTACCTTGCATCCTCCTGCCACCACTGCTGCCACCGTTGCTACCATTGCAGCCTCCGGTGCCGAAATATATATTCTTCTTTCCATTCATCCTCCAAGCATGGTGACTGGGACTGCAGCCACTGTTGCTTCCGCCCTTGCTGCAAATCGAGCTTTTGATGTAACCCCTGTCACTATCTGCACTCTCGACACATCGCCATTGACTGCCGCTGCAGCCAGTGCAGCTGCAGCTGCCACTGCTGCCACATCTGCTGCAGCTGCCACAACTATCACCACCAGTGCCACCGCTGCCCCTGTCAGCACCACTGTTGCCACTCAAAATGGCAGTGTCACCAACCCCATTACAACCACTGCTACAGTCAGCAGTGCCACACTCAATATTGTCACAGTTATAAGTACTAGAGTCAGTGGCGCTACAGTCAGTGGCGCTACAGTCAGTGGTGCTACAGTCAGTGGTGCTACAGTCAGTGGTGCTACAGTCAGTGGTGCTACAGCCAGTGGTGCTACGGACAACTGTGCAACAGACAATGGTGGTACAGTCCATGTCGGTGCTATAATCTACACTACTAAAAACAACCGTGCTACAGTCAACCGTGCTACAGTCAACCGTGCCACAGTCAACCGTGCTACAGTCAACCGTGCTACAGTCAACAGTGCCACAGTCAACCGCGCTACAGTCAACCGCGCTACAGTCAACCGTGCAACAATCGACAACATTAGAGCCAACGATGGGACCGACATCCCCACACGCTGCAGTGCTGATGCTTCTCCCACTGCCACCACCCCTGGCAAGTAGAGGAAGTGCAAGAAGAGGAAGCGAAAACAGAGGAAGCCTAAGAAGAGGAAGCGCAAGCACAGGAAGCACAAGCAGAGGAAGCACAAGCAGAGAAGCGCAAGCAGAGGAAGCGCAAGGAGAGGAAGCGCAAGTAGATGAAGCACAAGCAGTGGAAGCACAAGAAGAGGAAGCGCAAGTAGAGGAAGCACAAGGAGAGGAAGCAAAAGTAGAGGAAGCACAAGCAGAAGAAGCACAAGAAGAGGAAGCGCAAGCGGAGGAAGCACAAGCAATGAAAGCACAAGCTGAAGAAGCGCAAGCAGAGGAAGCACAAGAAGAGGAAGCCCACTCAGAGGAAGCACAATCAGAGGAAGCGCAAGCAGAGGAAGCGCAAGCAGAGGAAGCACAAGCAGAGGAAGCACAAGCAGAGGAAGCGCAAGCAGAGGAAGCACAAGCAGAGGAAGCGCAAGCAGAGGAAGCGCAAGCAGAGGAAGCACAAGCAGAAGATGCGCAAGTAGAGGAAGCACAAGCAGAGGAAGCACAAGCAGAGGAAGCGCAAGCAGAGGAAGCATAAGCAGAGGAAGCACAAGCAGAGGAGCCCAAGTAGAGGAAGCGCAAGCAGAGGAAGCGCAAGCGGAGGAAGCGCAAGCAGAGGAAGCGCAAACAGAGGAAGCGCAAGCAGAGGAAGCGCAAGCAGAGGAAGCACAAGCAGAGGAAGCGCAAGCAGAGGAAGCACAAGCAGAGGAAGCATAAGCAGAGGAAGCACAAGCAGAGAAAGCGCAAGCAGAGGAAACGCAAGCAGAGGAAGCGAAAGCAGAGGAAGCACAAGCAGAGAAGGCGCAAGCAGAGGAAGTAGAATCAGAGGAAGCGCAAGCAGAGGAAGCACAAGCAGAAGAGCGCAAGCAGTGGAAGCGCAAGCAGAGGAAGCACAAGCAGAGGAAGCACAAGCAGAGGAAGCGCAAGCAGAGGAAGCGCAAGCAGAGGAAGCGCAAGCACAGGAAGAAGAAGCAGAGGAAGCGCAAACAGAGGAAGCGTAAGCAGAGGAAGCGCAAGCAGAGGAAGCGCAAGCAGAGGAAGCACATGCAGAGGAAGCATGAGCAGAGGAAGCGCGAGCGTCAAAAGCACAAGCAGAGGAAGCGCAAGCAGAGGAAGCGCAAGCAGAGGAGCGCAAGTGGAGGAAGTGTAAGCAGAGGAAGCGCAAGCAGAGGAAGCGCAACTAGAGGAAGCGTAAGCAGAGGAAGCGCAAGCAGAGGAGCGCAAGCAGAGGAAGCGTAAGCAGAGGAAGCGCAAGTAGAGGAAGCACAAGCAGAGGAAGCACAAGCAGAGGAAGCACAAGCAGAGGATGCACAAGTAGAGGAAGCACAAGCAGAGGAAGCACAAGAAGAGGAAGTACAAGCAGAGGAAGCACAAGCAGAGGAAGCACAAGCAGAGGATGCGCAAGCAGAGGAATCACAAGCCGAGGTAGCGCAAGCAGAGGAAGCAAAAGCAGAGGAAGCGCAAGCAGAGGAAGCACAAGCAGAGGAAGCACAAGCAGAGGAAGCGCAAGCAGAGGAAGCGCAAGCAGAGGAAGCGCAAGCAGAGGAAGCGCAAGCAGAGGAAGAACAAGCAAAGGAAGCGCAAGCAAAGAAAGCGCAAGCAGAGGAAGCACAAAAAAAAGGAAGCGTAAGCAGAGGAAGCACAAGCAGAGGAAGCGCAAGTAGAGGAAGCACAAGCATAGGAAGCGCAAGCAGAGGAAGCACAAGCAGAGGAAGCGCAAGCAAAGGAAGCACAAGCAGAGGAAGCGCAAGCAGAGGAAGCGCAAACAGAGGAAGCGTAAGCAGAGGAAGCGCAAGCAGAGGAAGCGCAAGCAGAGGAAGCACATGCAGAGGAAGCATGAGCAGAGGAAGCGCGAGCGTCAAAAGCACAAGCAGAGGAAGGGCAAGCAGAGGAAGTGCAAGCAGATGAAGCACAAGCAGAGGAAGCGCAAGCACAAGAAGCACAAGCAGAGGAAGCGCAAGCAGAGAAAGCGTAAGCAGAGGAAGCACAAGCAAAGGAAGCGTAAGCAAAGGAATCGCAAGCAGAGGAATCACAAGCTAAGGAAGCACAAGCAGAGGAAGCGCAAGCAGAGGAAGCACAAGCAGAGGAAGCACAAGCAGAGGAAGCACAAGCAGAGGAAGCACAAGCAGAGGAAGCACAAGCAGAGGAAGCACAAGCAGAGGAAGCACAAGCAGAGGAAGCACAAGCAGAGGAAGCGCAAGCAGAGGAAGCGCAAGCAGAGGAAGCACAAGGAGAGGAAGCGCAAGCAGAGGAAGCACAAGTAGAGGAAGCGCAAGCAGAGGAAGCGCAAGCAGAGGAAGCACAAGCAGAGGAAGCGCAAGCAGAGGAAGCGCAAGCAGAGGAAGCACAAGCAGAGGATGCGCAAGTAGAGGAAGCACAAGCAGAGGAAGCACAAGCAGAGGAAGCGCAAGCAGAGGAAGCATAAGCAGAGGAAGCACAAGCAGAGGAGCCCAAGCAGAGGAAGCGCAAGCAGAGGAAGCGCAAGCGGAGGAAGCGCAAGCAGAGGAAGCGCAAACAGAGGAAGCGCATGCAGAGGAAGCGCAAGCAGAGGAAGCACAAGCAGAGGAAGCGCAAGCAGAGGAAGCACAAGCAGAGGAAGCATAAGCAGAGATAGCACAAGCAGAGAAAGCGCAAGCAGAGGAAGCGCAAGCAGAGGAAGCGCAAGCAGAGGAAGCACAAGCAGAGAAGGCGCAAGCAGAGGAAGCAGAATCAGAGGAAGCGCAAGCAGAGGAAGCACAAGCAGAAGAGCGCAAGCAGTGGAAGCGCAAGCAGAGGAAGCACAAGCAGAGGAAGCGCAAGCAGAGGAAGCGCAAGCAGAGGAAGCGCAAGCACAGGAAGAAGAAGCAGAGGAAGCGCAAACAGAGGAAGCGTAAGCAGAGGAAGCGCAAGCAGAGGAAGCGCAAGCAGAGGAAGCACATGCAGAGGAAGCATGAGCAGAGGAAGCGCGAGCGTCAAAAGCACAAGCAGAGGAAGCGCAAGCAGAGGAAGCGCAAGCAGAGGAGCGCAAGTGGAGGAAGCGTAAGCAGAGGAAGCGCAAGCAGAGGAAGCGCAACTAGAGGAAGCGTAAGCAGAGGAAGCGCAAGCAGAGGAGCGCAAGCAGAGGAAGCGTAAGCAGAGGAAGCGCAAGTAGAGGAAGCACAAGCAGAGGAAGCACAAGCAGAGGAAGCACAAGCAGAGGATGCACAAGTAGAGGAAGCACAAGCAGAGGAAGCACAAGAAGAGGAAGTACAAGCAGAGGAAGCACAAGCAGAAGAAGCACAAGCAGAGGATGCGCAAGCAGAGGAATCACAAGCCGAGGTAGCGCAAGCAGAGGAAGCAAAAGCAGAGGAAGCGCAAGCAGAGGAAGCGCAAGCAGAGGAAGCACAAGCAGAGAAAGCGCAAGCAGAGGAAGCGCAAGCAGAGGAAGCGCAAGCAGAGGAAGCGCAAGCAGAGGAAGAACAAGCAGAGGAAGCGCAAGCAAAGAAAGCGCAAGTAGAGGAAGCACAAAAAAAAGGAAGCGTAAGCAGAGGAAGCACAAGCAGAGGAAGCGCAAGTAGAGGAAGCACAAGCATAGGAAGCGCAAGCAGAGGAAGCACAAGCAGAGGAAGCGCAAGCAGAGGAAGCACAAGCAGAGGAAGCGCAAGTAGAGGAAGCGCAAACAGAGGAAGCGTAAGCAAAGGAAGCGCAAGCAGAGGAAGCGCAAGCAGAGGAAGCACATGCAGAGGAAGCATGAGCAGAGGAAGCGCGAGCGTCAAAAGCACAAGCAGAGGAAGCGCAAGCAGAGGAAGTGCAAGCAGAGGAAGCACAAGCAGAGGAAGCGCAAGCACAAGAAGCACAAGCAGAGGAAGCGCAAGCAGAGAAAGCGTAAGCAGAGGAAGCACAAGCAAAGGAAGCGTAAGCAAAGGAATCGCAAGCAGAGGAATCACAAGCTAAGGAAGCACAAGCAGAGGAAGCGCAAGCAGAGGAAGCACAAGCAGAGGAAGCACAAGCAGAGGAAGCACAAGCAGAGGAAGCACAAGCAGAGGAAGCACAAGCAGAGGAAGCACAAGCAGAGGAAGCACAAGCAGAGGAAGCACGAGGAAGCGCAAGCAGAGGAAGCGCAAGCAGAGGAAGCACAAGGAGAGGAAGCGCAAGCAGAGGAAGCACAAGTAGAGGAAGCGCAAGCAGAGGAAGAACAAGCAGAGGAAGCATAAGCAGAGAAAGCGCAAGCAGAGGAAGCACAAGAAAAGGAAGCGTAAGCAGAGGAAGCACAAGCAGAGGAAGCGCAAGCAGAGGAAGCACAAGCATAGGAAGCGCAAGCAGAGAAAGCACAAGCAGAGGAAGCGCAAGAAGAGGAAGCACAAGCAGAGGAAGCGCAAGCAGAAGAAGCACAAGCAGAGGAAGCGCAAGCAGAGGAAGCAGAAGTAGAGGAAGCACAAGCAGAGGAAGCGCAAGTTGAGGAAGCGCAAGCACAGGAAGAAGAAGCAGAGGAAGTGCAAACAGAGGAAGCGTAAGCAGAGGAAGCGCAAGCAAGGAGGGGCAAGTAGAGGAAGCACATGCAGAGGAAGCATGAGCAGAGGAAGCGCGAGCGTCAAAATCACAAGCAGAGGAAGCGCAAGTAGAGGAAGTGCAAGCAGAGGAAGCACAAGCAGAGGAAGCGCAAGCACAGGAAGCACAAGCAGAGGAAGCACAAGCAGAGGAAGCACAAGCAGAGGAAGCACAAGCAGAGGAAGCGCAAGCAGAGGAAGCACAAGCAGAGGAAGCACAAGCAGAGGAAGCACAAGCAGAGGAAGCACAAGCAGAGTCAGCACAAGCAGAGGAAGCACAAGCAGAGGAAGCACAAGCAGATGAAGCACAAGCAGAGGAAACACAAGCAGAGGAAGCACAAGCAGAGGAAGCGCAAGAAGAGGAAGAACAAGCAGAGGAAGCGCAAGCAGAGGGAGCACAAGCAGAGGAAGCGCAAGCACAGGAAGCACAAGCACAGGAGCAGAAGCAGAGGAAGCGGAAGCAGAGGAAGCATAAGCAGAGGAAGCACAAGCAGATGTAGCGCACGCAGAGGAAGCAAAAGCAGAGGAAGCGCATGTAGAGGAAGCACAAGCAAAGGAAGCGCAAGCAGGGGAAGCACAAGCAGAGGAAGCCAAAGAAGAGGAAGCACAAGCAGAGGAAGCACAAGCAGAGGAAGCGCAAGTAGAGGAAGCGCAGTCAGAGGAAGCACAAGCAGAGGAAGCACAAGCAAAGGAGCGCAAGCAGAGGAAGCACAAGCAGAGGAAGCACAAGCAGAGGAGCGCAAGCGGAGGAAGCAGAAGGAAAGAAAACGTAAGTAGAGGAAGCACAAGCAGAGGAAGCGCAAGAAGAGGAAGCGTAAGCAGAGGAAGCGCAAGAAGAGGAAGCACAAGCAGAGGAAACACAAGCAAAGGAAGCGCAAGGAGAGGAAGCGCAAGCAGAGGAAGCGTAAGCATAGGAAGCGCAAGCAGAGGAGCGCAAGTAGAGGAAGCGTAAGCAGATGAAGCGGAAGCAGAGGAAGCGCAAGCAGAGGAAGCGTAAGCAGAGGAAGCGCAAGCAGAGGAGCGCAAGCAGAGGAAGCGTAAGCAGAGGAAGTGCAAGTAGAGGAAGCACAAGCAGAGGAAGCACAAGCAGAGGAAGCACAAGCGGAGGAAGCACAAGCAGAGGAAGCACAAGCAGAGGAAGCGCAAGCAGAGGAAGCACAAGCAGGGGAAGCGCAAGCAGAGGAAGCACAAGCAGAGGAAGCGCAAGCACAGGAAGCACAAGCAGAGGAAGCGCAAGCAGAGGAAGCGCAAGCAGAGGAAGCACAAGCAGCGGAAGCGCAAGTAGAATAAGCGTAAGCAGAGGAAGCACAAGCAGAGGAAGCACAAGCAGAGGAAGCACAAGCAGAGGAAGCGCAAGCAGAGGAAGCGCAAGCAGAGGAAGCGCAAGCAGAGGAAGCACAAGCAGACCAAGCACAAGCAGAGGAAGCACAAGTAGAAGAAGCCCAAGCAGAGGAAGCGCAAGCAGAGGAAGCAGAAGCAGAAGAATCACAAGCAGAGGAAGCGCAAGCAGAGGAAGCACAAGCAGAGGAAGCGCAAGCAGAGGAAGCAGAAGCAAAAGAAGCACAAGCAGAGGAAGCGCAAGCAGAGGAAGCACAAGCAGAGGAAGCGCAAGCAGAGGAAGCACAAGCAGAGGAAGCGCAAGTAGAGGAAGCGCAAGCAGAGGAACCACAAGCAGAGGAAGCACAAGCAGAGGAAGCGCAAGCAGTAGAAGCACAAGCAGAGGAAGCGCAAGCAGAGGAAGCACAAGCAGAGGAAGCACAAGTAGAGGAAGTGCAAGCAGAGGAAGCACAAGCAGAGGAAGCACAAGTAGAGGAAGTGCAAGCAGAGGAAGCACAAGCAGAGGAAGCACAAGCAGAGGAGCGCAAGCAGAGGAAGCACAAGAAGAGGAAGCACAAGAAGAGGAAGCACAAGCAAAGGAAGCACAAGCAGAGGAAGCGCAAGCAGAGGAAGCACAAGTAGAGGAAGCGCAAGCAGAGGAAGCGCAAGCAGAGGAAGCGCAAGTAGATGAAGCACAAGCTGAGGAAGCGCAAGCAGAGGAAGCACAAGGAGAGGAAGCGTCAGCAGAGGAAGCACAAGCAGAGGAAGCAGAAGCAGAGGAGCGCAAGCAGAGGAAGCACATGCAGAGGAAGCGCAAGCAGAGGAAGCACAAGCAGAGGAAGCGCAAGCAGAGGAAGCACAAGCAGAGGAAGCGCAAGCAGAGGAAGCGTAAGCAGAGGAAGCACAAGCGGAGGAAGCGCACGCAGAGGATGCACAAGCAGAGGAAGCGCAAGCAGAGGCAGCACAAGCAGAGGAAGCACAAGCAGAGGAAGCAGAAGCAGAGGAAGCGCAAGCAGAGGAAGCACAAGCAGAGGAAGCGCAAGCAGAGGAAGCGCAAGCAGAGGAAGCGCAAGCAGAGGAAGCACAAGCAGAGGAAGCACAAGTAGAGGAAGCGCAAGCAGAGGAAGCACAAGCAGAGGAGCGCTCTCTGCTGGTCATGGGCATGGCTGTCAGACACCGACCCCAAGTAGCTTGGGCGATGGGAGGGTGGGCGATGGGAGGGTGGGAGATGGGAGGGTGGGAGACGGGATGGTGGGCGATGGGAGGGTGGGAGATGGGAGGGTGGGAGACGTGAGGGTGGGCGATGGGAGGGTGGGAGGCTTGGAGGGTGCGCGATGGGAGAGTGGGAGGGTGGGCGATGGGAGGGTGGGAGGGTGGGAGATGGGAGGGCAGCAACTCACGGTGCCTCTGCTGCTTGTGTGAATATTCTAGGTGGCGACCTTGGTTTGCCCATGATGTTTTCTTCTGTGCTTAGTATGTCTCGTTTCTAGCCATGTTCTGCCATGTGCTGCCCTCTCCCTGTGCTGCGTGCCCCCAGATGGTTCGCCTCGCCTCCAGTCACCCACTGACTCCTCGCCCATGCAAGCAGCAGCGCGCCCTGCTGGCACCATGGGCAAGCAGGGGGCATGTTTGACATGGCAAGGGCTGCCATGCTTGTCACAGCAAGGGCTGCCATGCTTGTCACAGCAGGGGCTGCCATGCTTGTCACAGCAAGGGAATGTTGCCGTGGAGAGTTGTGTTAGTCTCTGGACGCCCACCGGCCCCTGCAGGCAATGATGCCACTTGCAGTGACACTAGCATCAGCCCTCAACTCAACCTGGTGCTGGCCTGTGCAAGATATCAAGATCCCATGTGTCAACAACTATGCATTTGCAAACTAATCATTGCCTTGTTCCACGCACTCTGTTCTAATCTTAATACACATCATGAAATAACAAGGTTCAGCTGTAACTGGTTCAACAAACCCAATATCCAACTGCCTTCAGCATCAACAATGAAGAAAGGAATGTCATGCGATGCGAGCACATCAAAATATCATACTACGCGACCCCCTTAACCTCGCAAATCTGCTCCTGATCCATAGCGTTGAATACAATAGCGACAAGCTCCTTGTCTTCTGCACAGCAAGCGGTGATCTGCACGAACATCCAAACGTGGAATTGCGCACGCCATGAAACACATGCCATGATTGGGCACGCCATGAAACACATGCCATGATTGGGCACGCCATGCAACACATGCCATGATTGGGCACGCCATGAAACACATGCCATGATTGGGCACGCCATGAAACACATGGCGCAAGAGAGAATATATGGGCGTCCAGTGGATACCTGTGAGCGGAGAGGCTCGTGGGTGGGAAGGCAAAGATCATCCCTCGTGTCGCCCGCATCGTTCATAAGAGATACCTAAAGCAGCATGAAGCCAGTTATTAGGACGCCAAGAACAAACGTCGGGGAACAACAACATGACACAAACCTATCGGCACTTACTCTGTCTTACCCCACCAAGCCGAGAATCCGATATTCCGTTTTGAGCACTGTTGGAATCTGGGAAGCCATCAACCATTCGTGAGAAACGTGACAGGCACGAACGACCAACGAAGATTGCTGTGCAAATCCACTCACCTCGACATTGAGAGCAGCCGGCACAGACTCTTCAAGCCTTTCATTGTTGAATAAATCAGTTGCGACAAAATGACACTTCTTGTGACCGTTCGTCGTAAGAGAGGTAGTAACTTCCACCACCTGTGGAATTTCGATCATGAAAATACCGTATGAGAAAGAACGCGAAACATCAGCGGCCAAGAAAGCTACCATTTCGCGGGAAAGAATGGACAAGCGGAAGCGAGCAATCTCGCTGCACTGATACAGCTGAACATTTCCCTCATCGTATACCTTGCAAGGCCGCCCCGCAATTACAATGTACCTTCCCTTGCGAACACTTCCAGCCTGTTGCGAACTCGTCGTCGACATGGCTTCGCTGCCTTGGACCTAGGAACGACGAGGGAAACACCGGCAGTGGGGAGGAAGGCGAGCTGAGCGCGCAGAACAACTGAAATCAAGATGATGGGATCGAGGCTAAAATAATCGTACGGTGCGTTCACGGGAGGTCGAGATGCGTTCAAGCAAGAGTGACCAAAACGAGGGAAGGTCAAGATAACATTAAAGCATGTTCTAATGGGCGTCTTGACCGCTGTGGTCAGGACGCGCCATTCGGGATTGTCCCATCCCGCGCGGACATGGTTCCGATCGCGTCAGAAGTCCGACGCGCATCGTCTAGCTCAAAACGATAAATACAAAGAAGGCGTCTCAAAAATGGCTTGCCATCGTCGTCCTAACAGCCACCCAAGCAGTTCAGCCGAGGGTCTGGAAAATTGTGGACTGGGGTGGTTCACCTATAGTGTGCTTACAGTTCATAATAAGCGGTAGAGTACAATGCTGTGCAATGCACAGCGGTTTGTTTTCTCAGGCGCTCTGAACCGCTTTTCACCAAACTGAACAGTGTGATACATGAAACGTAAGCACAAGAAGAATGACCAGCCCTTGCCAACCAAGCAACAGACGCGCCCAACCGATAGCGGTGTTCCCGTGACGCAATAGAGTTGCATGTTATATAGAGTCTGTATATCTTTATTCTAATACAGTGCATGCAACTCGTTGTCTCAATTTTCTTGCTTAGCAACATCCGGTGCATTACACCAAGGGGAGAAAAACAACGACCTGATTATCAACAAGTGCAACCACTTGCACAAATTTTCTCAGCGATTAAAAAATAATACCTTATTGAAATCTATTGAACACAAGCAACAGCTGGCTTGATTATACTCAACTCACCCAATACCAGCTGGGAGAACAGAGGAATGTACAAATGTGTCAGAATGAGGAATGAGTGTTGCATTGATGTTGGTTGGGGTACATATGACAAACCCTAACTTCTGTACCCCCTAAGACAAACCTCACTACAGGCTACAACATTTGACACACCCCCATAGCCTAAGTGAGGGGTGTCTAGCAAAAACAAAAAGAGTACGGTCACAAGACCAGTCCAAAAGAAAACAAAGCTCAGGGTGGATCACAACGTCACCACACACTCTGAGCACAAGCAACAGTGGCCACAAGGCCAGTCCAAGAGATCACAAGTATATATAGTAAATGTACAGACGAAGCAGGCAATAAACTCAAGTCTACGCATGACTAGAACCTGTGTCAACAAGGCCTAACTGCACACAACACCTCTGGTGGTCACAAGGCGGAAGCGCCTTGGTGAAGATGTCTGCAGTGTTGGCCTCGGACTCTACGAACTCGAAGCGAGCCTGTCCACGCCTCTGCAACTCTCGCAGAAGAAAGTACCTGATGTGAATGTGCTTCACTCTGCTCTCCAGTCGCGGCTCACGACAGAGGAGGATCGACGCCTTGTTGTCAGTAAACAAGGTCGGTGCAGAGCTCGGCCGCTCACCAAGGTCAGTGAGCAAGAAGGTCAACCACCGCAACTCCTGTGCCGCCATGGCACCAGCGTAAATCTCAGCCTCAGCTGTAGAGGTCGAGACAGAAGAGGAGCGCGTGGAACGCCAGGAAACAGCTCCAGAACCCAGACTGAAACAGTACCCCTGAGTAGACCTGTGAGTCTCAGCGTCGTCAGCGTAAGAGGAGTCACAGTGACCAGTGAGTACGACAGACTGCTGCCCTCCAAGAACTAGCCCCACGCCTGATGTAGTCGCTAGGTACTTCGCCACCCTCACAGCTGCCGTCCAGTGAACAGGACGGTGTCTCCCTGGCGCAACAAAGCGCGCAAGGATGCTGAGAGGGAAGGCGAGGTCCGGGCGAGTACAAGTCATCAGGTACATGAGGCAACCCACAAGCTCTGCGTAGGGACCACTAGGCTCAAACGGCTCGTCAGGAAAGGGACCAGTGAGTCTGTGGTCAACAGCTAGAGGTGTGCGCTGTACGGTGGAGTGCTGAAGCCCGAACCGCTGAAGGACCTGCTGCACCATGTGTGACTGTGAGAGTGTAATGGTGCGAGCGGCTCTGTCCCTGGTGATCTGCAGGCCAAGGTAGTGGCGCAGTTCACCAAGATCAGTGCACGTGTGTCTCTTCTGCAGTTCGGACTTCACGTCTGCCAAAGCAACCCTGTCCGGAGTGGCGAAAACGAGGTCGTCGACGTAAACCAGAACAAAGAACGGTGTGGAGCCACGACGAACGAACAGCGACGGGTCGGCAGAAGACGGCTGGAACCCAAGGTCAGAGAGGGTAGAACGCAGAGTGTCGTGCCACTCACGAGGGGCCTGGCGAAGACCGTAAACAGGTCGCCTCAGCCTCCACTGGGTCCCAGGAGGGAAGGTGCCAGTGAAGGCCGAGGGACGACGCAACCAAACCTCCTCGTGTAGGCTGCCCTGAAGGAAAGCAGTGGAGAAGTCAAGAGAGTGTAACTCGTAGTCTCTCTGTGCTGCTACGTGTAGTAACACCCGAAGAGTGGTCATCTTCGGGGTAGGTGCGAAGGTCTGAAAGAAGTCAACTCCCTCGCGCTGACTGAAACCTCTAGCCACGTAGCGCGCCTTGAAGACCGGGGGAGATCCCGGTGGCCGCTTCACCCTGTAGATCCACATGCCGTCGACTACGTTCGCCCCCGGGGGGGGAACCTCATCGACGTAGGTGCCTGTGGATCTGTAGGAGGCCATCTCTGCGTCCATGGCAGCTCTCCACTGAGAGGCCCAAGGCCCTGACACTGCCTCAGCGTAAGTGCGAGGAGTCGGAATGTCAAGGGCGTCGGGGTCACCCTCAGGGGCGAGGAGCATGGCACAGAGATGAGGGGAAGCGGCCGCCAGGAACTCTAGCTCAAACTGCCTGTCCTCTAGGGCGTCACGGCCAAGGGCAGACACACCCCCGACGGCCAGAGGACTGGTAGGAGGAGCAGCCACAAGCGTGGTGGCGTAGTCAAGGCGGCGGGTAGAGGCAAAGTCAGTAACTGCGGCAGTAAGAGCGGACACAGAGGACACAGAGGCACGAGGGTGAGTAACAAGAGAGGCGAGAACACGAGAGAGAACAGGACGGTACGTGCGGTAGTAGTCAGTGACAGGAGTAGGGAGCGACACAGTGAGGGCCGACTCAGGAGGAGACGGAAGCACAGACTGAGACGGACGAGGTGGACTAGAAAGAAGGAAGGCAGTACGAAGGTCAGTGAAGGGAACAGGAGACGAGGGACGAGCACGAGGGGAGCGACGAGTAGCCCAAGAACGAGACGGAGGAGAAGAGGACAAGGGCGGAGAACTGGGGAAAACAGCGGGGGAGGAGTCAGGAGGAGGAAACGTGGGACCGTAGACAGGAGGAGAGGCGGAGGAGGGAGGAGAAGGGGAGGGGAGACCAAGGATCCGAAGACCCGAGACAGGAGGAGGAAGTGGCTGCTGCTGCTGCGGCTGCGACTGCTGCTGCTGCGGACGCGGCTGCTGCTGGGACTGCTGCTCCTGCGGGTCCAGCTGCTGCTGCTGCTCCTCCAGCCGCTGTAACTCCCTCTCCTCTCTCTCCAACGCCAGCTGATCGTCACGGGCACGGCGAACACGAGCCTGGTGCCTAGTCGGGTAGGGGTGGGGGGGCGGAGTAGTGTCCGAAGCAGCGGCAGCTCCAGAGTCCACTCCAGAAGAACTAGGCTCACCACCCCCAGAGGCAGCACTAACACCAGCTCCAGACCCAGGCTCACCTGAACCCAAAGGAGGCGCACCCTCACCCCCAGACGCAGCACCCCCAGTGTCCGCGCGGCCAGCACCAGCTCCCGGACGACAAGCGTCCTCTGCACCCACCTGGTCAGCTCCAACTCCAGAACCAGAAACTCCAGCTCCAACCCCAGCTCCAACTCCAGCACCCCCAGAACCTGAAACTCCAGTGCCAACTCCAGCTCCAACTCCAGCTCCAACTCCAGCTCTAACTCCAGCACCCCCAGAACCAGAAACCGGTACAGGAACAGGCGTCGCACCAACCTCTCGAGAGCTAGCACCAGCGGCACGCTGCGAGGAGGACTGTGGGGAGGGAGGCTGTACCGGAGGGGCTACCGAAGGAGGAGGGGTAGCCTGGGACACACCTGACGGGGCTGGACCAGGGGGGGGAGGCTGTACCGGGGGAGCAGGAGGGGGAACGGCAGTCAGGAAGAGGGGGGGAGGAGGAACCGGGAGACCTCGACTGGGGTACCTGACGTAGTACGGAGTGGACTCCTCGAAACGGACGTCACGGGAGTCAAAGAACCGGTGAGAGGGAGGGTGGTAAAAGGTGAAGTCAGAGGAGTCCTCAGGGAAACCAAGGAAGACACAGGGGACGGCACGAGGCGAGAGCTTGTCCGCGGAGGTGTCGCGGACAAGAGCCAAGCACCCCCAGACACGAAACCGCGACGCAACACCAGGGAACCCTGTCCAAAGACTGGTCGGTGAAACCTCTGGTCGAGAGACACGTGGCCAGAGGTTCAGCTGGTGCGCGGCGTACCTGACCGCGTAGGGCCACAGAAAATGGGGGGCACAGGCGTGAGTCAGGGAGGTGCGGGCGATCTCCATGACCAGGCCTATGCGGCGCTCAGCAACCCCATTCTGCTGTGGGGACTCTGGAAGCGTCCAGGACTGACGAATGCCCTGCTCGCGACAGAATCCAGCGAGAATGCCGGAGCGAAACTCACCCCCACGGTCGGAGTGGAGACAGCTGACACGACGACCACGAGTGTCCTCGGTGGTGAGCAACCACCTGATCAGCGTAGAAGTCACCTCAGACTTCTTCGCCAGAGGGAACACTGTGGTGTAGCGGGAGAAGTCGTCAACGACCACCAGAAAGTAACGCTCACGCTCAGGGCCTAGACGAGGGGCTGGGCCCCAGACGTCCAAGTGAAGCGTCTCAAAAGGCTCGGTGGCCGGACGAAGGGAGGAGGAGTGAGGGGTGGCGCGCAGCCTACCCTCGACGCAGGGACGACACGGCGGCGCAGGCGAAGGCGGCAGCGACGGCAAGACACGTGGGAGGCCTAGGACAAGACGCTGACTAGACATAGCGCGCAGACGTGGAAGGGACGGGTGCCCCATCCGGTGGTGCCACAGAACGGTGGGGTGGGCAAGCGACCGGCAGGAGCACGACGCAGCGACTGGAACAGACGGAGGAACCTGACACGACACAGACACCTGGGGGGACGTAGCAACCTGGTGAGACGCGGGGACCCGAACGGGGGGGGGAACCGGGGGCAGTGGCAGTAGGGGGGGCTGCTGGTGCGGCCGCTGGTGCTGCTGCTGCTGCTGCTGCTGCGGCTGCGGCTGCTGCTGCTGCTGCGGCTGCTGCTGCGGCGCACGCGGGCCAGTGTGAAGAGTGTAGAGACCCGAGCCCGGCTCAGCAGTAAAGGTAGCAAGAGGCTGGTAAGAGTCTCCGTCAACACACACCGCAGTCTCTCCAGAAGGCTCAAACCACACACCCACGTGCTGGCTCACGAGGGGTCGCACGCCCACCAAGTTCCGGGAGAACGAGGGGACGTGAAACCCAGTGAGAGACCCGGAGGGAGCAGCAGGACACGGTAAAGTGGTAGTGTGACGTGCAGTGACTGGTCCCGTAGTGGGATCAGCCAACGCTACAGAAACAGGCGCAGGAAGTGGTGTAAGTGTCGTGCTGTCCCGAAAGAAGCAGTGGGAGGCTCCAGAGTCCAGTGTGAACGACAGCGAAGCGTCCTCTGAGGTAGTCGCTGGTCTAGAGTCTACACAAGTACCTACACTAGCAACAGGCAACTCAGCAAGACTAGCACCTAAGCTAACAACACCAGAGTAAACAGAGTCAGAAACACTAGAGTCAACAACAGCATACATAGCATGAGGAGCACTAATCAGATCAACTAACTGCTCAGCAGACATGCCCCACAGAGCGGAGCCGTAGCGCTGAACCAGAGGAAGCCAGTCAGGAGCAGGACCGCCAACCCCGTAGGTCAACCGGACCGTGTCAGTGAGCTGAGCAAAGCACTGACCAGGGGGGTGAAAGCGGCCACAAGGGTGGCCCCGACGAGGACCTGTCTGAACCTGGTAGGGGCAGGGAGGGTAAGCAGCACCGCGCTGGGGCTGACGCAGCCCCGACCCCGGAGCCAGCTGCTGACGCTGCTGCTGCTGAGGCTGCTGGGAGGAAAGGGGCTGCTGCTGCTGCTGAAGGTGCTGCTGACGCTGAGCCTGGTACCACGCCGCTGCTCCACCTAGCGGGGCCGACAGTACAGGAGGCGACTGACGAGCTCGAGGGTCGCTGCCACCAGCAGGTGCAGTGGAGTCACCGGCCGCTGCACGAGGGGTCTCTCCAGACGCTGCACTCCCACCACCGCCAGTCGCAACAGCACCCCCACTACCTCCGCTACCTCCGCCTCCACCTCCACCGGAACCACCTTTCTTGCCCCCCCTGCCGCGGGACCGCGACGCAGTCGTAACAGCAGCCGCAGTCGCGTCAGTAGCGGCAGTGGCAAGAGAGGCAGTGAAGGTGGGTAACTGCGGGACTGTGCACCCGTGGAAGAGTGGGGGGGATACAGTACCAGAGGCGGCAGCTACCGAACGAAGGTTGCTCTCGACATCCTTGAGTGCAGACTCAAGGACCTCGATAGTCAGCTCACTAGGGTGCTTCAGCAGAAGCGCGTCACGAACGGAGGCAAGGCGGTCAGGGAGGCTAGTGGCGATGAAATAGACAGTAATCGCCATGGGGGGAGGAAGCAGTGCAAGCTGTGCCTCAGTGCAAGCAGCGCGGTAACTAGCGTCAAGCGAGCGGAGGTGAGCGATCAAGTCAGCAGAGCGCTCAAACGAGGCAAGATCAGGAAACAGGAACGGGAGGAAAAGACGGCCGAGAGAGACAGTAGCGGGAGTAGAGTAGCGGGCCTTAATCGCAGTGAGGTACGCAGCAGCGGTGCGAACCTGAGTAAAGTGGACCTCCTCGGACTCAGGGAGGAGGCTGCTGAGTGCGATGCAGGCCGCAGCGTCACGCGACGTCCAAGCCGTCCGGTCAGCGCGCTGACGGGCAAAGCGAGCCGTAGCAGCATCGTCAGGAGCAGGGCCTAAAGCTGTAGGCTCGGGGGGCTCGGGGAGGTCACCAGTAGCGTGTGACCAGAGGGTCTCGCCCCCCTGGACCTAACCCTAACCCTAACTTCTGTACCCCCTAAGACAAACCTCACTACAGGCTACAACATTTGACAAAATGTTACACACGCACAACTCCCTAACTGCATAACACAGCTTGCTATCTGTACACTCAAGGCAACCCATGGCAACAGGCTGCAACCACCAACACAGCATAGAGCAGAGCCATGTAATAGTGCACGCAAACCACATGACATCTGTTTTTGGTGCATACTACCTTACATCCTCCTGCCACAACTGCTGCCACCGCTGCCACCGTTTCTACCATTGCAGCCTCCGGTGCCGAAATATATATTCTTCTTTCCATTCATCCTCCAAGCATGGTGACTGGGACTGCAGCCACTGTTGCTTCCGCCCTTGCTGCAAATCGAGCTTTTGATGTAACCCCTGTCACTGTCTGCACTCTCGGCACATCGCCATTGACTGCCGCTGCAGCCAGTGCAGCTGCAGCTGCCACTGCTGCCACATCTGCTGCAGCTGCCAAAACTATCACCACCAGTGCCACCACTGCCCCTATCAGCACCACCGTTGCCACTCAAAATGGCAGTGTCACCAACCCCATTACAACCACTGCTACAGTCAGTAGTGCCACACTCAATATTGTCATAGTTATAAGTACTAGAGTCAGTGGCGCTACAGTCAGTGGCGCTACAGTCAGTGGTGCTACAGTCAGTGGTGCTACAGTCAGTGGTGCTACAGTCAGTGGTGCTACAGTCAGTGGTGCTACAGTCAGTGGTGCTACGGACAACTGTGCAACATACAATGGCGGTACAGTCCATGTCGGTGCTATAATCTACACTACTACAGTCAACCGTGCTACAGTCAACCGTGCTACAGTCAACCGTGCCACAGTCAACCGTGCTACAGTCAACCGTGCTACAGTCAACAGTGCCACAGTCAACCGCGCTACAGTCAACCGCGCTACAGTCAACCGTTCAACAATCGACAACATTAGAGCCAACGGTGGGACCGACAACCCCACACGCTGCAGTGCTGATGCTTCTCCCACTGCAACCCCCCCTGGCAAGTAGAGGAAGCGCAAGAAGAGGAAGCGCAAGCAGAGGAAGCCTAAGCAAAGGAAGCGCAAGCACAGGAAGCACAATCAGAGGAAGCACAAGCAGAGAAGCGCAAGCAGAGGAAGCGCAAGCAGAGGAAACGCAAGCAGAGGAAGCACAAGGAGAGGAAGCGCAAGTAGAGGAAGCACAAGCAGAAGAAGCACAAGAAGAGGAAGCGCAAGCGGAGGAAGCATAAGCAATAAAAGCACAAGCAGAAGAAGCGCAAGCAAAGGAAGCACAAGAAGAGGAAGCGCACTCAGAGGAAGCACAATCAGAGGAAGCGCAAGCAGAGGAAGCGCAAGCAGAGGAAGCACAAGCAGAGGAAGCACAAGCAGAGGAAGCGCAAGCAGAGGAAGCACAAGAAGAGGAAGCGCAAGCAGAGGAAGCACAAGTAGAGGAAGAACAAGCAGAGGATGCGCAAGTAGAGGAAGCACAAGCAGAGGAAGCACAAGCAGAGGAAGCGCAAGCAGAGGAAGCATAAGACGAGGAAGCACAAGCAGAGGAGCCCAAGCAGAGGAAGCGCAAGCAGAGGAAGCGCAAGCAGAGGAAGCGCAAGCAGAGGCAGCGCAAATAGAGGAAGCGCAAGCAGAGGAAGCGCTAGGAGAGGAAGCTCAAGCAGAGGAAGCGCAAGCTGAGGAAGCACAAGAAGAGGAAGCACAAGCAGAGAAAGCGCAAGCAGAGGAAGCGCAAGCAGAGGAAGCGCAAGCAGAGGAAGCACAAGCAGAGGAGGCGCAAGCAGAGGAAGCAGAAGCAGAGCAAGCGCAAGCAGAGGAAGCACAACCAGAAGAGCGCAAGCAAAGGAAACGCAAGCAGAGGAAGCGCAAATAGGGGCAGCGCAAGCATAGGAAGCACAAGCAGAAGAAGCGCAAGCAGTGGAAGCGCAAGCAGAGGAAGCACAAGCAGAGGAAGCACAAGCAGAGGAAGCGCAAGCAGAGGAGGCGCAAGCAGAGGAAGCGTAAGCAGAGGAAGCGCAAGCAGAGGAGCGCAAGTGGAGGAAGCGTAAGCAGAGGAAGCGCAGGCAGAGGAAGCGCAACTAGAGGAAGCGTAAGCAGAGGAAGCGCAAGCAGAGGAGCGCAAGCAGAGGAAGCGTAAGCAGAGGAAGCGCAAGTAGAGGAAGTACAAGCAGAGGAAGCACAAGCAGAGGAAGCACAAGCAGAGGATGCACAAGTAGAGGAAGCAAAAGCAGAGGAAGCACAAGAAGAGGAAGTACAAGCAGAGGAAGCACAAGCAGAGAAAGCACAAGCAGAGGATGCGCAAGCAGAGGAATCACAAGCCGAGGTAGCGCAAGCAGAGGAAGCACAAGCAGAGGAAGTGCAAGCAGAGGAAGCGCAAGCAGAGGAAGCACAAGGAGAGGAAGCGCAAGCAGAGGAAGCGCAAGCAGAGGAAGCGCAAGCAGAGGAAGAACAAGCAGAGGAAGCGCAAGCAGAGGAAGCGCAAGCAGAGGAAGCACAAGAAAAGGAAGTGTAAGCAGAGGAAGCACAAGCAGAGAAAGCGCAAGCAGAGGAAGCACAAGCATAGGAAGCGCAAGCAAAGGAAGCACAAGCAGAGGAAGCGCAAGCAGAGGAAGCACAAGCAGAGGAAGCGCAAGCAGAGGAAGCACAAGCAGAGGAAGCGCAAGAAGAGGAAGAACAAGCAGAGGAAGCACAAGTAGAGGAAGCGGAAGCAGAGGAAGCGCAAGCACAGGAAGAAGAAGCAGAGGAAGCGCAAACAGAGGAAGCGTAAGCAGAGGAAGCGCAAGCATAGGAAGCGCAAGCAGAGGAAGCACATGCAGAGGAAGCATGAGCAGAGGAAGTGCAAGCGTCAAAAGCACAAGCAGAGGAAGCGCAAGCAGAGGAAGTGCAAGCAGAGGAAGCACAAGCACAGGAAGCGCAAGCACAGGAAGCAAAAGCAGAGGAAGCGCAAGCAGAGAAAGCGTAAGCAGAGGAAGCACAAGCAAAGGAAGCGTAAGCAAAGGAATCGGAAGCAGAGGAATCACAAGCTAAGGAAGCACAAGCAGAGGAAGCGCAAGCAGAGGAAGCACAAGCAGAGGAAGCACAAGCAGAGGAAGCACAAGCAGAGGAAGCACAAGCAGAGGAAGCACACGCAGAGGAAGCACAAGCAGAGGAAGCACAAGCAGAGGAAGCGCAAGAAGAGGAAGGACAAGCAGAGGAAGCGCAAGCTGAGGGAGCACAAGCAGAGGAAGCGCAAGCAGAGGAAACGCAAGCAGAGGAAGCTCAAGCAGAGGAAGCGCAAGCAGAGGAAGCGTAAGCAGAGGAAGCACAAGCAGAGGAAGCGCACGCAGAGGAAGCAAAAGCAGAGGAAGCGCATGTAGAGGAAGCACAAGCAAAGGAAGCGCAAGCAGAGGAAGCACAAGCAGAGGAAGCGCACGCAGAGGAAGCAAAAGCAGAGGAAGCGCATGTAGAGGAAGCACAAGCAAAGGAAGCACAAGCAAAGGAAGCACAAGCAGAGGAAGCGAAAGAAGAGGGAGCACAAGCAGAGGAAGCACAAGCAGAGGAAGCGCAAGCAGAGGAAGCGTAGGCAGAGGAAGCACAAGCAGAGGAAGCGCAAGCACAGGAAGCACAAGCAGAGGAGCGCAAGCGGAGGAAGCAGAAGGAGAGGATACGTAAGCAGAGGAAGCACAAGCAGAGGAAGCGCAAGCAGAGGAAGCGCAAGCCGAGGAAGCGCAAGCAGAGGAAGCAAAAGCAGAGGAAACACAAGCAAAGGAAGCGCAAGGAGAGGAAGCGCAATCAGAGGAAGCGTAAGCATAGGAAGCGCAAGCAGAGGAGCGCAAGTAGAGGAAGTGTAAGCAGAGGAAGCGCAAGCAGAGGAAGCGCAAGCAGAGGAAGCGTAAGCAGAGGAAGCGCAAGCACAGGAGCGCAAGCAGAGGAAGCGTAAGCATAGGAAGCGCAAGCAGAGGAAGCACAAGCAGAGGAAGCACAAGCAGAGGAAGTACAAGCAGAGGAAGCACAAGCAGAGGAAGCACAAGCAGAGGAAGCGCAAGTAGAGGAATCACAAGCATGGGAAGCGCAAGCAGAGGAAGCACAAGCAGAGGAAGCGCAAGCACAGGAAGCACAAGCAGAGGAAGCGCAAGCAGAGGAAGCGCAAGCAGAGGAAGCACAGGCAGAGGAAGCGCAAGTAGAATAAGCGTAAGCAGAGGAAGCACAAGCAGAGGAAGCACAAGCAGAAGAAGCACAAGCAGAGGAAGCGCAAGCAGAGGAAGTGCAAGCAGAGGAAGCGCAAGCAGAGGAAGCACAAGCAGACCAAGCACAAGCAGAGGAAGCACAAGCAGAAGAAGCACAAGCAGAGGAAGCGCAAGCAGAGGAAACAGAAGCAGAAGAAGCACAAGCAGAGGAAGCGCAAGCAGAGGAAGCGCAAGCAGAGGATGCAGAAGCAGAAGAAGCACAAGCAGAGGAAGCGCAAGCAGAGGAAGCACAAGCAGAGGAAGCGCAAGGAGAGGAAGCACAAGCAGAGGAAGCGCAGCACAGAAAGCAAAAGCAGAGGAAGCGCAAGTAGAGGAAGCGCAAGCAGAGGAAGCGCAAGCAGAGGAACCACAAGCAGAGGAAGCACAAGCAGAGGAAGCGCAAGCAGTAGAAGCACAAGCAGAGGAAGCGCAAGCAGAGGAAGCATAAGCAGAGGAAGCACAAGCAGAGGGAGTGCAAGCAGAGGAAGCACAAGCAGAGGAAGCACAAGCAGAGGAAGCACAAGCAGAGGAAGCACAAGCAGAGGAAGCACAAGAAGAGGAAGCGCAAGCAGAGGAAGCACAAGTAGAGGAAGCGCAAGTAGAGGAAGCACAAGCAGAGGAAGCGTAAGCAGAGGAAGCGCAAGCAGAGGAGCGCAAGTGGAGGAAGCATAAGCAAAGGAAGCACAAGCAGAGGAAGCGCAAGCAGAGGAAGCGCAAGAAGAGGAAGAAAAAGCAGAGGAAGCGCAAGCTGAGGGAGCACAAGCAGAGGAAGCGCAAGCAGAGGAAGCGCAAGCAGAGGAAGCACAAGCAGAGGAAGCGCAAGCAGAGGAAGCGTAAGCAGAGGAAGCGCAAGCAGAGGAGCGCAAGTGGAGGAAGCGTAAGCAGAGGAAGCGCAAGCAGAGGAAGCGCAAGCAGAGGAAGCGCAACTAGAGGAAGCGTAAGCAGAGGAAGCGCAAGGAGAGGAGCGCAAGCAGAGGAAGCGTAAGCAGAGGAAGCGCAAGTAGAGGAGCGCAAGCAGAGGAAGCGTAAGCAGAGGAAGCGCAAGCAGAGGAAGCACAAGCAGAGGAAGCACAAGCAGAGGAAGTACAAGCAGAGGAAGCACAAGCAAAGGAAGCACAAGCAGAGGAAGCGCAAGCAGAGGAAGCACAAGCAGGGTAAGCGCAAGCAGAGGAAGCACAAGCAGAGGAAGCGCAAGCACAGGAAGCACAAGCAGAGGAAGCGCAAGCAGAGGAAGCGCAAGCAGAGGAAGCACAAGCAGAGGAAGCGCAAGTAGAATAAGCGTAAGCAGAAGAAGCACAAGCAGAGGAAGCACAAGCAGAAGAAGCACAAGCAGAGGAAGCGCAAGCAGAGGAAGCGCAAGCAGAGGAAGCGCAAGCAGAGGAAGCACAAGCAGAAGAAGCACAAGCAGAGGAAGCGCAAGCAGAGGAGACAGAAGCAGAAGAAGCACAAGCAGAGGAAGCGCAAGCAGAGGAAGCACAAGCAGAGGAAGCGCAAGGAGAGGAAGCACAAGAAGAGGAAGCGCAAGCAGAGGAAGCACAAGCAGAGGAAGCGCAAGCAGAGGAAGCGCAAGCAGAGGAAGCGCAAGCAGAGGAACCACAAGCAGAGGAAGCACAAGCAGAGGAAGCGCGAGCAGAGGAAGCACAAGCAGAGGAAGCGCACGCAGAGGAAGCAAAAGCAGAGGAAGCGCATGTAGAGGAAGCACAAGCAAAGGAAGCGCAAGCAAAGGAAGCACAAGCAGAGGAAGCGAAAGAAGAGGGAGCACAAGCAGAGGAAGCACAAGCAGAGAAAGCGCAAGCAGAGGAAGCGCAGGCAGAGGAAGCACAAGCAGAGGAAGCGCAAGCACAGGAAGCACAAGCAGAGGAAGCCCAAGCAGAGGAGCGCAAGCGGAGGAAGCAGAAGGAGAGGAAACGTAAGCAGAGGAAGCACAAGCAGAGGAAGCGCAAGCAGAGGAATCGCAAGCAGAGGAAGCGCAAGCAGAGGAAGCACAAGCAGAGGAAACACAAGCAAAGGAAGCGCAAGGAAGGGAAGCGCAAGCAGAGGAAGCGTAAGCATAGGATGCGCAAGCACAGGAGCGCAAGTAGAGGAAGCGTAAGCAGAGGAAGCGCAAGCAGAGGAAGCGCAAGCAGAGGAAGCGTAAGTAGAGGAAGCGCAAGCACAGGAGCGCAAGCAGAGGAAGTGTAAGCAAGCGCAAGCAGAGAAAGCACAAGCAGAGGAAGCACAAGCAGAGGAAGTACAAGCAGAGGAAGCACAAGCAAAGGAAGCACAAGCAGAGGAAGCGCAAGCAGAGGAAGCACAAGCAGGGTAAGCGCAAGCAGAGGAAGCACAAGCAGAGGAAGCCCAAGCACAGGAAGCACAAGCAGAGGAAGCGCAAGCAGAGGAAGCGCAAGCAGAGGAAGCACAAGCAGAGGAAGCGCAAGTAGAATAAGCGTAAGCAGAGGAAGCACAAGCAGAGGAAGCACAAGCAGAAGAAGCACAAGTAGAGGAAGCGCAAGCAGAGGAAGCGCAAGCAGAGGAAGCGCAAGCAGAGGAAGCACAAGCAGACCAAGCACAAGCAGAGGAAGCACAAGCAGAAGAAGCACAAGCAGAGGAAGCGCAAGCAGAGGAGACAGAAACAGAAGAAGCACAAGCAGAAGAAGCACAAGCAGAGGAAGCGCAAGCAGAGGAAGCACAAGCAGAGGAAGCGCAAGCAGAGGATGCAGAAGCAGAAGAAGCACAAGCAGAGGAAGCGCAAGCAGAGGAAGCACAAGCAGAGGAAGCGCAAGGAGAGGAAGCACAAGCAGAGGAAGCGCAAGCAGAGGAAGCACAAGTAGAGGAAGCGCAAGCAGAGGAAGCGCAAGCAGAGGAAGCGCAAGCAGAGGAACCACAAGCAGAGGAAGCACAAGCAGAGGAAGCGCAAGCAGTAGAAGCACAAGTAGAGGAAGCGCAAGCAAAGGAAGCATAAGCAAAGGAAGCACAAGCAGAGGAAGTGCAAGCAGAGGAAGCACAAGCAGAGGAAGCACAAGTAGAGGAAGCGCAAGTAGAGGAAGCACAAGCAGAGGAAGCACAAGCAGAGGAAGCACAAGCAGAGGAAGCACAAGCAGAGGAAGCACAAGCAGAGGAAGCACAAGCAAAGGAAGCGCAAGCAGAGGAAGCACAAGTAGAGGAAGCGCAAGCAGAGGAAGCGCAAGTAGAGGAAGCACAAGCTGAGGAAGCGCAAGCAAAGGAAGCACAAGGAGAGGAAGCGTAAGCAGAGGAAGCACAAGGAGAGGAAGCAGAAGCAGAGGAGCGCAAGCAGAGGAAGCATATGCAGAGGAAGCGCAAGCACAGGAAGCACAAGCAGAGGAAGCGCAAGCAGAGGAAGCACAAGCAGAGGAAGCGCAAGCAGAGGAAGCGTAAGCAGAGGAAGCTCAAGCGGAGGAAGTGCACGCAGAGGAAGCACAAGCAGAGGAAGCGCAAGCAGAGGAAGCACAAGCAGAGGAAGCAGAAGCAGAGGAAGCACAAGCAGAGGAAGCGCAAGCAGAGGAAGCACAAGCTCAGGAAGCGCAAGCAGAGGAAGCGCAAGCAGAGGAAGCGCAAGCAGAGGAAGCACAAGCAGAGGAAGCACAAGTAGAGGAAGCGCAAGCAGAGGAAGCACAAGCAGAGGAGCGCTCTCTGCTAGTCATGGGCATGGCTGTTAGACACCGACCCCAAGTAGCTTGGGCGATGGGAGGGTGGGCGATGGGAGGGTGGGAGATGGGAGGGTGGGAGACGGGATGGTGGGCGATGGGAGGGTGGGAGATGGGAGGGTGGGAGACGTGAGGGTGGGCGATGGGAGGGTGGGAGGCTGGGAGGGTGCGCGATGGGAGGGTGGGAGGGTGGGCGATGGAAGGGTGGGAGGGTGGGAGATGGGAGGGCAGCAACTCACGGTGCCTCTGCAGCTTGTGTGAATATTCTAGGTGGCGACCTTGGTTTGCCCATGATGTTTTCTTCTGTGCTTAGTATGTCTCGTTTCTAGCCATGTTCTGCCATGTGCTGCCCTCTCCCTGTGCTGCCTGCCCCCATATGGTTTGCCTCGCCTCCAGTCACCCACTGACTCCTCGCCCATGCAAGCAGCAGCGCGCCCTGCTCGCACCATGGGCAAGCAGGGGGCATGTGTGACATGGCAAGGGCTGCCATGCTTGTCACAGCAAGGGCTGCCATGCTTTTCACAGCAAGGGCTGCCATGCTTGTCACAGCAGGGGCTGCCATGCTTGTCACAGCAAGGGACTGTTGCCGTGGAGAGTTGTGTTAGTCTCTGGACGCCCACCGGCCCCTGCAGGCAATGATGCCACTTGCAGTGACACTAGCATCAGCCCTCAACTCAACCTGGTGCTGGCCTGTGCAAGATATCAACATCCCATGTGTCAACAACTATGCATTTGCAAACTTATCATTGCCTTGTTCCACGCACTCTGTTCTAATCTTAATACACATCATGAAATAACAAGGTTCAGCTGTAACTGGTTCAGCAAACCCAATATCCAACTGCCTTCAGCATCAACAATGAAGAAAGGAATGTCATGCGATGCGAGCACATCGAAATATCATACTACGCGACCCCCTTAACCTCGCAAATCTGCTCCTGATCCATAGCGCTGAATACAATAGCGACAAGCTCCTTGTCTTCTGCACAACAAGCGGTGATCTGCACGAACATCCAAACGTGGAATTGCGCACGCCATGAAACACATGCCATGATTGGGCACGCCATGAAACACATACCATGATTGGGCACGCCATGCAACACATGCCATGATTGGGCACGCCATGAAACACATGCCATGATTGGGCACGCCATGAAACACATGGCGCAAGAGAGAATATACGGGCGTCCAGTGGATACCTGTGAGCGGAGAGGCTCGTGGGTGGGAAGGCGAAGATCATCCCTCGTGTCGCCAGCATCGTTCATAAGAGATACCTAAAGCAGCATGAAGCCAATTATTAGGACGCCAAGAACAAACGCCGGGGAACAACAACATGACACAAACCTATCGGCACTTACTCTGTCGTACCCCACCAAGCCAAGAATCTGATATTCCGTTTTGAGCACTGTTGGAATCTGGGAAGCCATCAACCATTCGTGAGAAACGTGACAGGCACGAACGACCAACGAAGATTGCTGTGCAAATCCTCTCACCTCGACATTGAGAGCAGCCGACACAGACTCTTCAAGCCTTTCATTGTTGAATAAATCAGTTGCGACAAAATGACACTTCTTGTGACCGTTCGTCGTAAGAGAGGTAGTAACTTCCACCACCTGTGGAATTTCGATCATGAAAATACCGTATGAGAAAGAACGCGAAACATCAGCGGCCAAGAAAGCTACCATTTCGCGGGAAAGAATGGACAAGCGGAAGCGAGCAATCTCGCTGCACTGATACAGCTGAACATTTCCCTCATCGTATACCTTGCAAGGCCGCCCCGCAATTACAATGTACCTTCCCTTGCGAACACTTCCAGCCTGTTGCGAACTCGTCGTCGACATGGCTTCGCTGCCTTGGACCTAGGAACGACGAGGGAAACACGGGCAGTGGGGAGGAAGGCGAGCTGAGCGCGCAGAACAACTGAAATCAAGATGATGGGATCGAGGCTAAAATAATCGTACGGTGCGTTCACGGGAGGTCGAGATGCGTTCAAGCAAGAGTGACCAAAACGAGGGAAGGTCAAGATGACATTAAAGCATGTTCTAATGGGCGTCTTGACCGCTGTGGTCAGGACGCGCCATTCGGGATTGTCCCATCCCGCGCGGACATGGTTCCGATCGCGTCAGAAGTCGGACGCGCATCGTCTAGCTCAAAACGATAAATACAAAGAAGGCGTCTCAAAAATGGCTTGCCATCGTCGTCCTAACAGCCACCCAAGCAGTTCAGCCGAGGGTCTGGAAAATTGTGGACTGGGGTGGTTCACGTATAGTGTGCTTACAGTTCATAATAAGCGGTAGAGTACAATGCTGTGCAATGCACAGCGGTTTGTTTTCTCAGGCGCTCTGAACCGCTTTTCACCAAACTGAACAGTGTGATACATGAAACGTAAGCACAAGAAGAATGACCAGCCCTTGCCAACCAAGCAACAGACGCGCCCAACCGATAGCGGTGTTCCCGTGACGCAATAGAGTTGCATGTTATATAGAGTCTGTATATCTTTATTCTAATACAGTGCATGCAACTCGTTGTCTCAATTTTCTTGCTTAGCAACATCCGGTGCATTACACCAAGGGGAGAAAAACAACGACCAGATTATCAACAAGTGCAACCACTTGCACAAATTTTCTCAGCGATTAAAAAATAATACCTTATTGAACTCTATTGAACACAAGCAACAGCTAGCTTGATTATACTCAACTCACCCAATACCAGCTGGGAGAACAGAGGAATGTACAAATGTTACACACGCACAACTCCCTAACTGCATAACACAGCTTGCTATCTGTACACTCAAGGCAACCCATGGCAACTGGCTGCAACCACCAACACAGCATAGAGCAGAGCCATGTAATAGTGCACGCAAACCACATGACATCTGTTTCTGGTGCATACTACCTTGCATCCTCCTGCCACCACTGCTGCCACCGCTGCCACCGTTGCTACCATTGCAGCCTCCGGTGCCGAAATATATATTCTTCTTTCCATTCATCCTCCAAGCATGGTGACTGGGACTACAGTCACTGTTGCTTCCGCCCTTGCTGCAAATCGAGCTTTTGATGTAACCCCTGTCACTGTCTGCACTCTCGGCACATCGCCATTGACTTCCGCTGCAGCCAGTGCAGCTGCAGCTGCCACTGCTGCCACATCTGCTGCAGCTGCCACAACTATCACCACCAGTGCCACCGCTGCCCCTATCAGCACCACTGTTGCCACTCAAAATGGCAGTGTTACCAACCCCATTACAACCACTGCTACAATCAGCAGTGCCACACTCAATATTGTCACAGTTATAAGTACTAGAGTCAGTGGCGCTACAGTCAGTGGCGCTACAGTCAGAGGAAGCGCAAGCACAGGAAGCACAAGCAGAGGAAGCACAAGCAGAGAAGCGCAAGCAGAGGAAGCGCAAGGAGAGGAAGCGCAAGTAGAGGAAGCACAAGCAGTGGAAGCACAAGAAGAGGAAGCGCAAGTAGAGGAAGCACAAGGAGAGGAAGCACAAGTAGAGGAAGCACAAGCAGAAGAAGCACAAGAAGAGGAAGCGCAAGCGGAGGAAGCACAAGCAATGAAAGCACAAGCAGAGGAAGCGCAAGCAGAGGAAGCACAAGCAGAGGATGCGCAAGTAGAAGAAGCACAAGCAGAGGAAGCACAAGCAGAGGAAGCGCAAGCAGAGGAAGCATAAGCAGATGAAGCACAAGCAGAGGAGCCCAAGCAGAGAAAGCGCAAGCAGAGGAATCGCAAGGGGACGAAGCGCAAGCAGAGGAAGCGCAAACAGAGGAAGCGCAAGCAGAGGAAGCGCAAGCAGAGGAAGCACAAGCAGAGGAAGCACAAGCAGAGGAAGCACAAGCAGAGGAAGCATAAGCAGAGGAAGCACAAGCAGAGAAAGTGCAAGCAGAGGAAGCGCAAGCAGAGGAAGCGCAAGCAGAGGAAGCACAAGCAAAGAAGGCGCAAGCAGAGGAAGCAGAAGCAGAGGAAGCGCAAGTAGAGGCAGACAAGCAGAAGAGCGCAAGCAAAGGAAACGCAAGCAGAGGAAGCGCAAATAGAGGCAGCGCAAGCATAGGAAGCACAAGATAAAGAAGCGCAAGCAGTGGAAGCGCAAGCAGAGGAAGCACAAGAAGAGGAAGCACAAGCACAGGAAGCGCAAGCAGAGGAAGCGCAAGCAGAGAAGCGTAAGCAGAGGAGAGCAGGTGGAGGAAGCGTAAGCAGAGGAAGCGCAAGCAGAGGAAGCGCAACTAGAGGAAGCGTAAGCAGAGGAAGCGCAAGCAGAGGAGCGCAAGCAGAGGAAGCGTAAGCAGAGGAAGCGCAAGTAGAGGAAGCACAAGCAGAGGAAGCACAAGCAGAGGAAGCACAAGCAGAGGATGCACAAGTAGAGGAAGCACAAGCAGAGGAAGCACAAGAAGAGGAAGTACAAGCAGAGGAAGCACAAGCAGAGGAAGCACAAGCAGAGGATGCGCAAGCAGAGGAATCACAAGCAGAGGAAGCGCAAGCAGAGGAAGCACAAGGAGAGGAAGCGCAAGCAGAGGAAGCGCAAGCAGATGAAGCGCAAGCAGAGGAAGAACAAGCAGAGGAAGCGCAAGCATAGAAAGCGCAAGCAGAGGAAGCACAAGAAAAGGAAGCGTAAGCAGAGGAAGCACAAGCAAAGAAAGCGCAAGCAGAGGAAGCACAAGCATAGGAGGCGCAAACAGAGGAAGCACAAGCAGAGGAAGCGCAAGCAGAGGAAGCACAAGCAGAGGAAGCGCAAGCAGAGGAAGCACAAGCAGAGGAAGCGCAAGCAGAGGAAGCACAAGCAGAGGAAGCACAAGCAAAGGAAGCGCAAGCAGAGGAAGCGCAAGCACATGAAGAAGAAGCAGAGGAAGCGCAAAAAGAGGAAGCGTAAGCAGAGGAAGCGCAAGCAGAGGAAGCGCAAGCAGAGGAAGCGCAAGCAGAGGAAGCACATGCAGAGGAAGCATGAGCAGAGGAAGCGCAAGCGTCAAAAGCACAAGCAGAGAAAGCGCAAGCAGAGGAAGTGCAAACAAAGGAAGCACAAGCAGAGGAAGCGCAAGCAAAGGAAGCACAAGCAGAGGAAGCGCAAGCAGAGAAAGCATAAGCAGAGGAAGCACAAGCAGAGGAAGCGTAAGCAAAGGAATCGCAAGCAGAGGAATCACAAGCTAAGGAAGCACAAGCAGAGGAAGCGCAAGCAGAGGAAGCACAAGCAGAGGAAGCACAAGCAAAGGAAGCACAAGCAGAGGAAGCACAAGCAGAGGAAGCACAAGCAGAGGAAGCACAAGCAGAGGAAGCACAAGCAGAGGAAGCGCAAGAACAGGAAGAAGAAGCAGAGGAAGCGCAAGCAGAGGGAGCACAAGCAGAGGAAGCGCAAGCACAGGAAGCACAAGCAGAGGAAGCGCAAGCAGAGGAAGCACAAGCAGAGGAAGAACAAGCAGAGGAAGCGCAAGCAGAGGAAGCGTAAGCACAGGAAGCACAAGCACAGGAAGCGCACGCAGAGGAAGCAAAAGCAGAGGAAGCGCATATAGAGGAAGCACAAGCAAAGGAAGCGCAAGCAGAGGAAGAACAAGCAGAGGAAGCGAAAGAAGAGGAAGCACAAGCACAGGAAGCACAAGCAGAGGAAGCGCAAGTAGAGGAAGCGCAAGTAGAGGTAGCACAAGCAGAGGAGCGCAAGCAGAGGAAGCACAAGCAGAGGAAGCACAAGCAGAGGAGTGCAAGCGGAGGAAGCAGAAGGAGAGGAAACGTAAGCAGAGGAAGCACAAGCAGAGGAAGCGCAAGCAGAGGAAGCGCAAGCAGAGGAAGCGCAAGCAGAGGAAGCACAAGCAGAGGAAACACAAGCAAAGGAAGCGCAAGGAGAGGATGCGCAAGCAGAGGAAGCGCAAGCATAGGAAGCGCAAGCAGAGGAGCGCAAGTAGAGGCAGCGTAAGCAGTGGAAGCGCAAGCAGAGGAAGCGCAAGCAGAGGAAGCGTAAGCAGAGGAAGCGCAAGCAGAGGAGCGCAAGAAGAGGAAGCGTAAGCAGAGGAAGCACAAGCAGAGGAAGCACAAGTAGAGGAAGCACAAGCAGAGGAAGCACAAGCAGAGGAAGCACAAGCAGAGGAAGCACAAGCAGAGGAAACGCAAGCAGAGGAAGCGCAAGCAGAGGAAGCACAAGGAGAGGAAGCGCAAGCAGAGGAAGCGCAAGCAGAGGAAGCGCAAGCAGAGGAAGAACAAGCAGAGGAAGCGCAAGCAGAGAAAGCGCAAGCAGAGGAAGCACAAGAAAAGGAAGCGTAAGCAGAGGAAGCACAAGCAGAGGAAGCGCAAGCAGAGTAAGCACAAGCATAGGAAGCGCAAGCAGAGGAAGCACAAGCAGAGGAAGCGCAAGCAGAGGAAGCGCAAGTAGAGGAAGCACAAGCAGAGGAAGCGCAAGCAGAGGAAGCACAAGCAGAGGAAGCACAAGCAGAGGAGGCGCAAGCAGAGGAAGCGCAAGCACAGGAAGAAGAAGCAGAGGAAGCGTAAACAGAGGAAGCGTAAGCAGAGAAAGCGCAAGCAGAGGAAGCGCAAGCAGAGGAAGCACATGCAGAGGAAGCATGAGCAGAGGAAGCGCGAGCGTCAAAAGCACAAGCAGAGGAAGCGCAAGCAGAGGAAGTGCAAGCAGAGGAAGCACAAGCAGAGGAAGCGCAAGCACAGGAAGCACAAGCAGAGGAAGCGCAAGTAGAGAAAGTGTAAGCAGAGGAAGCACAAGCAGAGGAAGCACAAGCAGAGGAAGCACAAGCAGAGGAAGCACAAGTAGAGGAAGCACAAGCAGAGGAAGCACAAGCAGAGGAAGCACAAGCAGAGGAAGCACAAGTAGAGGAAGCACAAGCAGAGGAAGCACAAGCAGAGGAAGCACAAGTAGAGGAAGCGCAAGAAGAGGAGAACAAGCAGAGGAAGCGCAAGCAGAGGGAGCACAAGCGGAGGAAGCGCAAGCACAGGAAGCACAAGCAGAGGAAGCACAAGCATAGGAAGCACAAGCAGAGGAAGCACAAGCATAGGAAGCACAAGCAGAGGAAGCACAAGCATAGGAAGCACAAGCAGAGGTAGCGAAAGCAAAGGAAGAACAAGTAGAGGAAGCACAAGCATAGGAAGCACAAGTAGAGGAAGCACAAGCATAGGAAGCACAAGCAGAGGTAGCGAAAGCAGAGGAAGCACAAGCAGAGGAAGCACAAGCAAAGGAAGCGTAAGCAAAGGAATCGCAAGCAGAGGAATCACAAGCTAAGGAAGCACAAGCAGAGGAAGCGCTAGCAGAGGAAGCACAAGCAGAGGAAGCACAAGCAGAGGAAGCACAAGTAGAGGAAACACAAGCAGAGGAAGCACAAGCAGAGGAAGCACAAGCAGAGGTAGCACAAGCAGAGGAAGCGCAAGAAGAGGAAGCACGAGCAGAGGAAGCGCAAGCAGAGGAAGCACAAGCAGAGGAAGCACAAGCAGAGGAAGCACAAGCAGAGGAAGCGCAAGCAGAGGAAGCACAAGCACAGGAAGCGCAAGCAGAGGAAGCGCAAGTAGAGGAAGCGCAAGTAGAGGAAGCACAAGCAGGGGAAGCACAAGTAGAGGAAGCGCAAGCAGAGGAAGCACAAGCAGAGGAGCGCTCTCTGCTGGTCATGGGCATGGCTGTCAGACACCGACCCCAAGTAGCTTGGGCGATGGGAGGGTGGGCGATGGGAGGGTGGGAGATGGGAGGGTGGGAGACGGGATGGTGGGCGATGGGAGGGTGGGAGATGGGAGGGTGGGAGACATGAGGGTGGGCGATGGTAGGGTGGGAGGCTTGGAGGGTGCGCGATGGGAGGGTGGGCAATGGGAGGGTGGGAGGGTGGGAGATGGGAGGGCAGCAACTCACGGTGCCTCTGCAGCTTGTGTGAATATTCTAGGTGGCGACCTTGGTTTGCCCATGATGTTTTCTTCTGTGCTTAGTATGTCTCGTTTCTAGCCATGTTCTGCCATATGCTGCCCTCTCCCTGTGCTGCCTGCCCCCAGATGGTTCGCCTCGCCTCTAGTCACCCACTGACTCCTCGCCCATGCAAGCAGCAGCGCGCCCTGCTCGCACCATGGGCAAGCAGGGGGCATGTGTGACATGGCAAGGGCTGCCATGCTTGTCACAGCAAGGGCTGCCATGCTTGTCACAGCAAGGGCTGCCATGCTTGTCACAGCAGGGGCTGCCATGCTTGTCACAGCAAGGGACTGTTGCCGTGGAGAGTTGTGTTAGTCTCTGGACGCCCACCGGCCCCTGCAGGCAATGATGCCATTTGCAGTGACACTAGCATCCGCCCTCAACTCAACCTGGTGCTGGCCTGTGCAAGATATCAACATCCCATGTGTCAACAACTATGCATTTGCAAACTCATCATTGCCTTGTTCCACGCACTATGTTCTTATCTTAATACACATCATGAAATAACAAGGTTCAGCTGTAACTGGTTCAACAAACCCAATATCCAATTGCCTTCAGCATCAACAATGAAGAAAGGAATGTCATGCGATGCGAGCACATCGAAATATCATACTACGCGACCCCCTTAACCTCGCAAATCTGCTCCTGATCCATAGCGCTGAATACAATAGCGACAAGCTCCTTGTCTTCTGCACAGCAGGCGGTGATCTGCACGAACATCCAAACGTGGAATTGCGCACGCCATGAAACACATGCCATGATTGGGCACGCCATGAAACACATGCCATGATTGGGCACGCCATGCAATACATGCCATGATTGGGCACGCCATGAAACACATGCCATGATTGGGCACGCCATGAAACACATGGCGCAAGAGAGAATATACGGGCGTCCAGTGGATACCTGTGAGCGGAGAGGCTCGTGGGTGGGAAGGCGAAGATCATCCCTCGTGTCGCCCGCATCGTTCATAAGAGATACCTAAAGCAGCATGAAGCCAATTATTAGGACGCCAAGAACAAACGCCGGGGAACAACAACATGACACAAACCTATCGGCACTTACTCTGTCTTACCCCACCAAGCCGAGAATCCGATATTCCGTTTTGAGCACTGTTGGAATCTGGGAAGCCATCAACCATTCGTGAGAAACGTGACAGGCACGAACGACCAACGAAGATTGCTGTGCAAATCCACTCACCTCGACATTGAGAGCAGCCGGCACAGACTCTTCAAGCCTTTCATTGTTGAATAAATCAGTTGCGACAAAATGACACTTCTTGTGACCGTTCGTCGTAAGAGAGGTAGTAACTTCCACCACCTGTGGAATTTCGATCATGAAAATACCATATGAGAAAGAACGCGAAACATCAGCGGCCAAGAAAGCTACCATTTCGCGGGAAAGAATGGACAAGCGGAAGCGAGCAATCTCGCTGCACTGATACAGCTGAACATTTCCCTCATCGTATACCTTGCAAGGCCGCCCCGCAATTACAATGTACCTTCCCTTGCGAACACTTCCAGCCTGTTGCGAACTCGTCGTCGACATGGCTTCGCTGCCTTGGACCTAGGAACGACGAGGGAAACACCGGCAGTGGGGAGGAAGGCGAGCTGAGCGCGCAGAACAACTGAAATCAAGATGATGGGATCGAGGCTAAAATAATCGTACGGTGCGTTCACGGGAGGTCGAGATGCGTTCAAGCAAGAGTGACCAAAACGAGGGAAGGTCAAGATGACATTAAAGCATGTTCTAATGGGCGTCTTGACCGCTGTGGTCAGGACGCGCCATTCGGGATTGTCCCATCCCGCGCGGACATGGTTCCGATCGCGTCAGAAGTCGGACGCACATCGTCTAGCTCAAAACGATAAATACAAAGAAGGCGTCTCAAAAATGGCTTGCCATCGTCGTCCTAACAGCCACCCAAGCAGTTCAGCCGAGGGTCTGGAAAATTGTGGACTGGGGTGGTTCACGTATAGTGTGCTTACAGTTCATAATAAGCGGTAGAGTACAATGCTGTGCAATGCACAGCGGTTTGTTTTCTCTGGCGCTCTGAACCGCTTTTCACCAAACTAAACAGTGTGATACATGAAACGTAAGCACAAGAAGAATTACCAGCCCTTGCCAACCAAGCAACAGACGCGCCCAACCGATAGCGGTGTTCCCGTGTGTAAGGAAATTCCCTTTTCCTTACTTCGCGTCCCTGCTCAACGCGTACATCACTGTAGCACCTCAGTCAGCACCGTTACCACTCGCGACCATCGCATCATTCATCATCCCGCCCTTTTCGCACATCGCATCCCGACCTCACGGCTCGGCTGGTAACCCGCGCTCCGGGCCTACGCTTCGACACTTTCCCAACCTCAGTCCCAGGCTCGTCGCGCGACAACCACAGTCCATTACCGTTACCACTATTGCTTCGCTATATAATCCTTCGCTCATGCCTTCGCTCATTTTGTACTCCTGCTTCGATAGTGCAATTCTCGTTCGTTCACTCAATTGCACTCGTAACACTTGGTATTCAGAGCCTACGATCTCATCTCGGACCGCATCCACACCTTCGCTTCCCACTATCTCAATTTTTGGGGGGGGGTAGACGTCTCTTAGCGATACAGCACCGCCGCTCGTAGTGCTCTCTCGGAAGCACGCACGGCCACGACTGAGGCTCTCGCTGAGCTTGCCCGACACCCCTGCCATGGCTGATTTCACTATCGCCACGTTGACGCAGGAGCAACTCGATCGTCTCGTGCGACAGCTGGAGGAATCAGCGCTCGAAATCGCGACGCTCACGGCGGAACGTGACTCCGCCCGTCAACAGTCAACGGTGAACGCTCCGACAACTTCCCAAGCGCCAACCAATGTTTCTGTCCATTCGGAGGAGCCGATTGTTATCTCATCCGGCACACCAACGCAAAACAACAGCACGGGACAGCGCTCAGGCGCAGCCAGTGACGGCGCAGCCCAACCGATGCCCGGCATGGGAGGGAACAGGAATGCATCAAGCCCACGGGAGCCCCGAGAAGCCCGTCGGCACGTGGAGTTTGCGATGACAAGTGGAGGGAACGCCACGATGGCCCCAATGCCACTCAAGCCGCAACGCCCGCCCTGCTTCGACCCAAGCCAACGCGGTGGCCCGACAGTTCAATCGTGGGTCTTCACGATGAACGTGTTTTTCGACGCCAACTACGTCGAGTCGGACGCCGCCAAGATTCGGTATGCAGTTTCACTACTCAGGGGCCCCGCCATGGACTGGTGGCGAGTCATCGTGACATCGCCACGCGCCTACGAGCCACCGCCGCACGAGGAAGGGCCCTCGGGTCCAGCTGTCACCTGGAGTTCGTTCTGCGAAACAGCCCAATATAGCACGTGGGATGCGTGGTGCGCAGGGCTTCGGGCGCGTTTTGAGCCGATCGCGGCTTCTATTTCGGCGCGTCAGAAACTGCGCACTTGGCGCCAGCTCGGGTCGGTCCAAGACTACACCAGCGGTTTTCTCGCACTTTGCGAACAGGTCGGCTACATGCACGAGGCGGAGCGGGTGGACCGTTACGTCGGCGGACTGAAGCCGGACATATCGCACGAGATAATGCTACGCGGGCTATCGAATTTCAACGAAATCCTCGCGCTCGCCGAGAAAATCGATATCCTACGCCGACCGAGACCGGGGTCCTATTTCGGACATCGTCCTCGGGGACTGATCGAGCACGCCACCGTACATGCCGTCGCAACGAATGCAGCTGCCACGCGCGCTGCTTTGCTTGCAACCGGCCGGGCCATCGCAAGAGCGAATGTCCAGAAGAGCTGAGGCGTCGAGGAGCAGAGCAGGGGAGGGAGTCTCAGAGGCAGGGAAACGCCAGCAGTCAGTAGAAATTGGGCCAACTACTGACGAGACTGCCTGCTCGCCCAACCACACCGACCCTCACCGAGTCACAGTACCGATTCACGCCATCGATCGGGCTCGGATGAATAAGGAGGGTACAGCGACGGATTGCCCAGTACTGATCCACGGGAAAATACAGGGAGCAGCAGTCAAGATTTTCATCGACGGAGGAGCTAGCCACAGTTTAGTTAATACCGCAACCGCACGAAAACTTCAACTGACACTTAGCCGATGTTTATCTGAGATTGATGCGCGCTTAGTCGACGGCACGCCGCTGGCCATACGGGAGAAGGTGGAGAGAGTAAAAGTTCGCTGCGGGGGGAACTTCGGGTTTACACAGGAAATGCTCGCGACGACACTGGATGGGCACGACATTTTATTGGGACGTGATTGGTTGCGACGTTACAATCCGAGAATCGACTGGACGACGGGCAGCTGCACTGTGCGAAGTAGTGGTAACTGGGTCGAACTACCACGCTGGCAGTCGCCTGAGTCATCGACGGTCCACGTCAACGCCATCACAATGAAACGAGCAGTCGCCGCTGGAGCTGACGTGTATGCAGTAGACATCGCAGTGGTAGAAAAAGATGAGCAGCCGAGTGATTTCCAGAAATTGCTGACAGCGGTACCGCCGGAGCTACAAGAGCTATTGACACGGTACCCGGGAATTTTCCCCGACGACTTACCGGAAGGACTGCCACCTCAGCGGGCGCACGACCATAGGATAGAGTTAGAGCCGGGGGCACAGCCAACTGTACAGCGCCAGTTCAGACTGACACAGCCGGAACTCGACGAACTGAGGAAGCAGTTAGATTACCTGTTAGCAAAGCAGTTTATCCGACCGAGCTCGTCGCCGTTCGCCGCACCGATACTATTCACACCAAAAAAAGACGGAGGTTTTCGCATGTGCATCGATTACCGAGCGCTCAACAGGGTTACAATAAAGTCACGATACCCCATTCCCCGCGCCGACGAACTGATCGACCAACTGCGAACAGCACGGGTGTTCTCGAAAATAGATCTACGGGGAGGTTACCACCAAATTAGAGTCGAACCATCGGACTGCGCCAAGACAGCTTTTAGAACTAGGTACGGGTCGTTCGAGTACACCGTGATGCCTTTCGGGCTAACCAACGCACCCGCAACATTCCAGATGACCATGAACGAGGCGTTTAGACCACTTTTAGATAAGTGCGTGATAGTCTACCTCGACGACATTCTCGTCTACAGCCGCGATAAGCAGCAGCATTTAGCGGACCTGGAAGCAGTGTTTAAAATTCTCGTGGAGCATCGTTTATTGACTAAGGGGTCTAAGTGCGAGTTTTTTCGGGATAGGTTAGAATTTTTGGGGCACGTTATTTCAGAGGCTGGGGTTGAGATTGACCCGAAGAAGCTGGATACGGTCAAAGCTTGGCACCCCCCGACAAACATCACGGCGCTGCAGAGTTTTTTGGGTTTCGTTAATTATGTCCGTCGATTCG